AATATAAGAGCACCAACGTGTTCATCTTAACTCTAATTCCTCGCCTTGGCCTTTTCCTAGCTGTCGTCATGGTAGAGTATTTTTACTCGTCATCTTCCCTCACTATAGAATCACGCAAGAGATATAATAATAGTGATTAGAAATTAGGAGTTTCGTTCCGAATGAGACTGAATAAACCAAGTGTTGCAACTTGAGGGCTTTGCAACTATTTAGTTCGACTGTACAAGTGAGCAATCATTTGTTGGCTAGCATGGAAACAATTTGAACACACAAAACCCTAATGCTAAAAAGACGAATAGTTGAGGATTAATTTCAAGTACAACTTGCTGTCTTACAATAATAAAGACAACAGCTGCAATTCGATGACTGGAGGGCAGGACTAAAAAAAATACTAAGTAGAGATTAGTAAGGTTAATAAACTCAACATGAGCCCAATAATACCATGATTCCAAGGGAGAGACCCGCTTTCCCTTCAAATTAAGCAGTGGCCACTTAGGTCCCGGACAGCCGGTGACTTCGTCCAAACTCATCCGCGCGTTGTTCACCGACACAAATTGGACCGACACAAATCGTCCACCGACACAAATGCCGTCATGAAAGATGGCTACACTTTTTGCCACTATCAGAATCAAATGACAATGGAAAACCAAGTTCACGGGAAAAAATAACGAGACGTTGTAATTCTATGAAATAGTCGAAACATAAGAACGGGGAAAAAATAAAAAATAAGAAAGCGTCGAAACCTTAGACTCCAACGCTCTGATGAAGTATAGCAACAACGTTAAGGCAACTGTCATTAAAAATGTTGAATAAGTACATAATGATTAGGTCAATTATTTGGACATAAAATCTTGTGCAGGTTGTTTGTTACGATGCATAACACAATATACCATATTTTAACAACGAAACAATAAATGCACACACATTGACTCCAACGAGAAATTATTGTAGGTTTTTGGCAAGGTTGAGAGACGCATAAACAGCAACCACTTCACGCGTACAGCGATAATAGGTGAAATAATGCCTACTTAGCAACACTATTGGGCACAATACATGCCTAAATACCCTAACAATTCAATGATAAAGAAGCAGAAAGAAATAACGTAACACTATGATAATTTGTAACACTCGTGAAAAGGAAATTAAATGATAAATTACGAACGATCAAATCGCGAATAGAAGAAGCCGGGTGAATCACAAATTTTTATTTAAAATACAAAAATTATACTCGGCATATTAAATAAAGTCCAATACTGTTGAATTAATTAAGCTCTCGAATACTAGCGAAGATTTTTTTCCTTGTGCAATAATTTAATAAATAAGCTTAAGAACACTTCTATTCATAATTTTAGGCAGCAGCTTTACGCCTGCTACAGAAAATCTACCAAAAGCTGAATTTTGAAACAGAATTCCTGGATACAAATGAATTTCACTTTTTTAACGAAGTCGCCTTAAGCGTAGAGATACAACACATAGGTAGCTATTTACACACATTCTCCCACAAAACTTAACTTTTTACGGTATTTCTATAGACAAGATAGAGAATGAATTTAATGAGGTCTATAAAATGCGTAAAATTCAGCCTTTTCTGACATTAAATTCAGACTTTTAATCAAAAAGCCCCGTTTCCCGGAAGCGTTCCAACGCGAGAACAAATAAAAAATATGGGTTTATAGCAATTTTCGTGTCCGAAAATTCGGGACATGCATTGAAAATACTTTGAGTAACCGAAGAACGGTTAGAAATGAGCGGTGATCAGGTGGAATGTTTTAAGTAGACTATATATACGGCGCAGCACTGTCAGGGATTTAGAACGTTCATCAGTTGATGTTCACAGAAACAGCTGGCAACATCACAACCTTTGAAAATTTCAGATTATGCATCAAAAATTTCACATGGCAAAAATATTTTAAGGAAACACAAAAATATATATTGATATCGGAACGTAACAAATAGGATTCGTGGAATTATAAAGGAACAAATAGATAAACATATTGGCTGTCCGAAAAGTTCAAATGAATGACTCAACGAAGGCCAGTATCATGAAAAGGCATGAGTATTGTAAATAACGTAAGATGAGAAAACCGAACCCGAACAGGACGACCTCCCACTAAAACTCATCCACTAAAACTCATTGGTGACTCGCATACTTATTAGTTTAATTATGTATCTTGATAAAAATTGGCATGCGAGACCTCGCCATAAGATTGTTCCTCCGTGTTAGTTCGTTAAGCAATGACGTTGAACTAAAATAACCTTAAATAAATTCAATAATTAAAATTAGGTGAATTAGTAAAATACTAAAATACAAGAATGAGTCCCGAAGGATCATTAACAACACGTCAATAGTGAAATAATAGAGCTTTGACAATTATCAATAATTTTCCCGAGACTGAAAACAATGATCTATAGAATACTGATCGCGATAAAAAGACTGAAGACTTACTACTATATAATTTAGTTCCTTTCCTAATAAATCTCAAAGACGAGAATATAAGACAAATCTCATCAAATTATAAAGATTTCTAATAGGTTGTTTTCATTATTAAAATGAGTATTATTGAAAAATAAAAACTCATTTGGTTGTAAACACATAATCAGAACAGCATAATAAATAGCACTGCCGTTTTAAACGATCGTAAATTGATAGTTGGATTCGTCAATGAATCAAAACAATCTGTCTTCAGCCATAACTAACATGCCAAAGTGAAAAAATGTGAGAGATCGAGGAACTAGACGCAGTAACTTAATATTGAACATAAAAAAGCAAAAAAACAGACGTAAAGATTATTACTAGAGGTTTGAGCCTTCTGATACTGCAACGTTCGAGTGCAATTGAATGATCCTAAAAAAACTTTCAGGTATCTAGGTGATTGAAAGCTGCATGGATATTAGCGTTGAGCTAAATTACTTATCACTAACGTTACTCTTCCTAAACATTAAATGCAGATAGGGATTAATTAATCGATACACAGACATTTCAATCTTACGTTACACTAACAATACAGCAATACAAGAACTTACAAAATTGCACGTGAAAAGTTCGGTCACCTGCACTGAGGGAAGGAATCTAACAGGAAAATACTTTACAGCTATTGATAAGGAGCAGAATTTTATTGAAAATATGTACGGAAGCGGTGAAACATCTTCAAGAGTCGCAACAATCAAACATATCAGACTATGTAATAACTTATTCCATCGTGCATACTTCTCAGAAGCGTTGACGGTAACGCTTTACTATGTCGGTAATATACCGAGTGGTAATTGTAAAAAAACAAAAACATGGTAATTGTGAGTGAGCATCACTGGTAATGTAGGAAATACACAAGCTGATGCTTCTTCAGTTCCGAAGGGCTCATCGAGGTGACCGCACTGAACACGGCTGGGCTTCATCTAATATGTACAGTGACTTGGAGCAAAGGCTCTCATGGCAAGACGAAATACTCGAGCAAAACCTGCCTAGAACTCTAATTAATAAGCAGTTAACGTTAAGAAACAACTGGGCTGCCACTCAGCAAGCTCGTGAACCTTGTAGTCCCACGGTTATTCCTCGATTAGGCAACAGGATAAAAGGATAGTTAAATCATTTAAAACGACGACAGTAATAGGTAGATGAACTCGTTTGAGAAGTCCTCTTATACGCCTTTAAGAAACTAAAAAAGATTTCTAACTTTGCACAAATATTTTTAATCTAATTTTAAAAAATGTCAGTATTATTGAGATAGTTAAAATTATTGAGAGAATTTCGACCCAAAAAACAATCAGTTAATTTGATAGACTGAAAGCTTGTGTGGGCAGTCCTTTTAAATCCAGAGAAAATTACGTCATTACCTATTTCTGGCTACGTCTGTGCTGATGAATTTCATGAATACTGCAACAACAAATTTGACTACCTATCAGAAAAACTAAACTCGACCATCCAACCACAGTTTGTCTAACTAATAGCTACGTAGCAAGGGAGTTAAGCACACGCCCTGGCATCTTGTTCAGTGGAAAATAAGAGGTCAGGTACGCGATATGTGCGTAGTGCTACTCAGCAAGGCCAGCAATGGCCAACACTACGAGCAGCACAAGATTTTAGGGAAGACTACTGTAACATCATCACCATCAGAGTTACGACAGGTCTTCATCGTGCTACTCCTGGATCTGCAAGTATAACACTGTGAATACAGGGATTTTTCGTCTATTGACCAAGTCAGAATATCTTTTCTGGATAATAAGAATAATAGAATTTAGTCTCGAAAAATGCCGTGTTTCAATTCTCAGCGCACCTGACGAGCAAATCATTACGATTCAAGCACAAATGTTCCAAGGTCAGCGTATCAATAGAAGCCCAAATATCACTGCCATTTCCAGTGAAACCAACACATCAACCTTTGGTCTATTAACTAGGTATAGCTTTCGATACAAGGCGTTCAAATACGAAATCGTTTGGTAAAGTCAAAGCATTCCTCGAGAGTTATTACAAAAATTCAAGTCATAACTCATCAACCACGGGCCTCCTTCGAATCCCCTAACGATAACAATTACAAAAACTTTGATAAAACAGTTAACAGAAAATTAGATGCAATGTGAAATGCAAGGCACTCATCAGAGTTACGACTGGTCTTCATCGTGCTACTCCTGGATCTACAAGTTTAACTCTGTGAATGCAAGAATTTTTCGTCTATTCACGAGGTTATAATATCTTTTCTGGATCAATAGAATAATAGAAGTAAGTTTCGAAAAATGCAGTGTATCAATTTTCAGTGCACCTGACTAGCAAATCATTACGGTTCGGGCTCAAATGTTCCAGGGTTAGCATATCAACAGAAGCCCACTTATCGCTGCCGTTTCCAGTGAAGCAAACGCATGAAACTTTGGTCTATTATCTATAGCTTTCGATACCAGACGTTCAAATACGAAAATTATTTGGTACCTACAGTCAAAGCATTCCTTGAAGAATTATTACAAAAATTCAAGTACTCTTCAAGCACGGGTCTCCATCGAATCTCTAAACGATAAAAATTACAAAAACTTTTATAAAACAGATTTAACAGAAAATTAGAAGCCAATGTAAAATGCAAGGCACAGAAATTATAAAGAAATGCATAACATGCAGTCAACTGCACTCACCAAACCCTCCACTACAATTTCTGGAATTAGTTATGAGAATAATATATTCCAGGGTCTAGCAGATCACATCAAAAATATCGTCATGAAGTCATAGCAACACGATATCTGGAATCAAATTTCACTAATGAATGAACATAGAAAGAACACAAAAAATTTGAGTTAATCTAAAGAAGGAACGAATACGATAAATATTCACAGGGATAAGTTTACAATGACGTTTTATTATCTAAGCTGCCGGTTTGGTACATAAATCAAAGCCACTTAGTTACCTACACTACTAAATTCATCACTCATTAAGCTGTCGCATTTCCATAGCTGAAACAGCGAGGATCAATCGATCCTTTGAATCACCAGCTTCCGTAAATCACAAAGGAGTTTTCAACATAGTTTCTCCCTGTAAAACTTTCATTTATGTTGCTTCGGCAACAAATAACGTTCACCTACAGAATAGTTTCACTTACCATGCCACCAATGTCACCAGATACAACGTGTTTATGAGGAATATTTCACTAGATGCACCGCACTGCAGTCTTCATCGTAGCACTTTATTGCAGGTAAATGTTCACTCTTAGTTTCAGATGGAACTTTAACGTTCAAGACTATAGTACGTATAGTCTCAGAATCCATGGCTTTTCAAGGTTCTAACTTCTAACAACAAGGACAAGTATTTATCGTACAGGAGAGGACCGAGGATAATACAAGAGAGTCTGGTTTGACACGTGAAGAATGTTCGGCCGAACGCAAAGCTGGTTATCTGAATATAAATGGCAAATTTCAATGCCATTTAGTACAGGATAACATTATTGCACATTAATTTGGCAGCTCTCAAACGAAGCTCTATAAATTTGATGCCACAAGTTTGAACTATTATCATGATAATTATATATTATTCAAATGACAGGTGTCAGTTGTTTGATCAATAACGATAAGTAATAGAAAAGCTACTAACCCTCAAACACCCTATTTCGGGTAGCAAGGGCAGTTAAGAGTTCAGCTCAGCATCAACTTTGCCAAGAAGCTCCCGCACTCAGTAGATCTTCTCATTATTTTTGCGAATGAGGCCGTACTCTCAGTAGAAGTCCGATGACTCGAGGGTCTTGCATTGCTTTGAAAGTGTTGCATATTGGCCTTGGTTGGGGCCAGTCGGGGGGCCCTGGTGGTGGGAGTGCGAGTCTCGAGGCATGGTGGCAGTGTGGTGGTGGTGGTGATGATGGTGGTGGTGGGAACCTCCCCCACCGTTACCACCTCCGTTCATTCCGCCGTCACTTTTGTACGTGCCAGAATGTGGATGGTGTTGATAGAGACGTCCGTTCCTGCAACAGGAATTTAGTTCATCAAAATGATAAAAAATACAGACAGAAAATTTTTTAAATGGTGGACCACACGAGTAGCATCTACAAATCAAGTTTAGAGAAAGCTTTTGTAACAGCATTTCCGAAATCAAAAGCCATCTTCGAAGAGGATATCTAAATAACAATGAATTTATTTGCAAAAGTAGCCCTTTATTCAACTGCGGAAGATAGTATTTTATCTTGTATTGTTTATCATGAATCTATCCTGAAAAATTACGTTTCACTGCTGGTCTAAGAGTTTCACTAGTTGAACAACGTTTTATAAAAGCAAAATGCAAAAGATGTCTTCACAGCTGGGACATCTCAAACAAAGGCTATGGACGATTCATGGTAAAATGACTCATGCAGGGGTGACGTAGCACTGATTTGAAAAATTGAAATATAATTCATCAATTTTGTTTGGTTCGATTAAAAGACGCGATGCCTGCGATATGAAACACGTGGCATAAAATAGTGAACAAATTCTTACTCGCAATGAAAAAAAAGAGGTAAATAGGATAATTTGTAGAACTCAATGCAGAAAATTGTTCTTTCCGCAGGGCGTTAAAAAAAAATCAAAGTAAATAGGCCTTTCGGAAATATTTCAACAACAGGAAAGCTAATCGCTTAGGGAGAAATCATTATACATGAACCAGAATCTGAAATATAAAAAATGTATCAATTCTAAACAAAATGATCTCGTTATCTTAGGACAAACAGCAAGACAAACAGCCACGCTGGTTGACTCGATTTCCAAAAATAAGTCAACGCTTATTTGAAAAATTAGCATGGTTTGGTTCAAGCTTCTAGCAAGCGTGGTAAACGTTACAAATAGGAAAAACATTCAACAAGTACAAGTCAAAAAGGAGCACCATAATAGTATATTCAGGCGACGCAATGAGATAAACAAGAAAGCTATTAAGCACGACAACAAATCCCCTTATTAACTTACAAAAACGAAGTGAATTCCGGGGTAACGGAGTTGGCATGGTGAGAGAGCAAGCAGAAAGACATTCGTTAGCGTAACTCTGAGTTATTAAACTCACGCAACATCATCAGTTAATGGATGACTCTAATGATATCATGTCAACATCAGGTTTCAATTACTGGTAAAGATGAACGGGCTCCCTTAAACATTTCGCAATAATAACAACCGAGACGTGAGCAAAATGATATTAATAAGGCTGTAGAATTCTTGAGCTGAAACACTGAGGAGCTTCCGAAGTTTCGTCTTGCATTACGAGACAACCAGTGACAAAGCACCTACAATTACGATTTAAATACCCACCTACACTAATTCACGGGAGAAATGTTATGTCCTAGGAACTATTTTTGAATTCTGCTTATGCTGCATCCATAGACTGACCGAGACATGAATAATTAGTTGTTGCATTTCAATATTTCACGTTTCTTCAAATTTATTTATTTACCCCTAAAACAAATTTTAAGAACACACTCTTAAATTCAGAAGTGAAAAAGCACCCCAGTGAAAGTCACATGAGGAAAAAAGTTTATGTAACTTCAAAAATTTGTCAAGTCCATTAATCACGCAAATGGAAATCTGCTTTAGCTTAAACATGAGGCAAAGAAAGTATTACTTCACAAACCTGACAAATCCACTAAGCGCTAAAATGAAAATTTGCTCTAGTACGAATATAAGGAAAATAAATTATTACTTCACAAAGCAATCACTCACAGGGTGCCGGGGAAGGGAGGGGTCTGAGGGGGAGTATGTGAATGTCTTGCCCCACGGCCTCCACCGCTGAGGGAATTCAGGGTTCCTGCACGACTTCCACCGCCACCGCCACCGCCGTTACTGCGGCCGCTGCTGCCGGCACCGCCGCTGCTCCGGCCGCCGCCACCTGGCAAGAACGGGTCACGCTCCTCCACGCTGCCGGTGTCCACTCTGCACAGGTGGTTTAAACGTTATATAAGAATTATGTACAGTAATTATTAATAAATAGTGACGTCAAAACCGATGTATGTACACAATAGTTATTGACGAATAGTGACGTCACAACAGATTTATGCACACAATAGTTACTATTGACGAATGAGTGACGTAACCACAGCTTTGAGCATTTAGTTGTTGCAACGCCATTAGTTACCTATATCCAATAGTTCTTTTTGATATCAATCAGGCACAAGTAAACAATGTTCATGGAAGCATAGAGCATTTCATTTAATATTCATACGCAACACCGTAACGAAGCAAATAGTGTTTCAGCTGAAGGGAGAAGTGCGTACTTGGAATTAAGGTAGATCCAGGTGTGTGATGCGAGCCAGACCAGTACTGTGAAGAGTATAGCCGAGCCCTTGGCACTGAACAGCAGGTAGACTACTCCATTCCTGCAAACATTCAACCACTGTTATAGACACAGTCGCTTAAATAAAATAATCAACTGGAAATGCAAGTACAGCACACCATTCTTACACACAGTCGATCATTGTGATTGATGGCAATCGTCGGTCAAAAAATAAAAATAAAATAATGTACCGACAGTACACTACTTGATTACAGTACACAGTCAACCATAGTGTTGCACGTGTGGTGCACCATCGCACTGAGTAACATACACGGCAGTGTTGCACGTGTGGTGCACCATCGCACTGAGTAACATACACGGCAGTGTTGCACGTGTGGTGCACCATCACACTGAGTAACATACACGGCAGTGTTGCACGTGTGGTGCACCATCNAATGCCTGCAACGAGATTCAATTGCCTTAAATGCATGCAACGAGATTCAATTGCCTTCAGTGCCTGCAACGAGATTCAATTGCCTTAAATGCCTGCAACGAGATTCAATTGCCTTCAGTGCCTGCAACGAGATTCAATTGCCTTAAATGCCTGCAACGAGATTCAATTGCCTTAAATGCCTGCAACGAGATTCAATTGCCTTCAGTGCCTGCAACGAAATTCGATTGCCTTCAATGCCTGCAGCAAAGGACAACAAGCATACTCGATAAATTCATAGCATACAAAAATACTTTATATTCAGCATGCGTTCAACAAGCTAAGAGCATAAACGAGAAATGTATTTCAAGTAAAAATATATAGGATTTTTAAAACGAAACGCTTATGATGATGATTTGATTCTTTCTTTACTTTCATGCATTAAAGAAATTATTGACTTGATTGACATAATCCACAATTTCTGGATATAGAACTAGCCTCTAGGTGCCTCAGAAACCTTATCAACAGCAAACACCTAGCAAAATTTAAACACAAACTTTCAAGAAAACATGCTCTGTGCCTAGGGAACCTTATTCAAGTTATACTAACAGCAAGTATGTATTATTGAAACGCGATGAATAAGAAGCCACAAACCATCTCATTGGGGTAGTGCTGGTCAGCGAGCTTCATGATGCCATGCAGGGCCTTCAGGACGCTGTCTGCGGACTGCCTGGCGCGTGTCAGGTGCTTTGTGAAGGGCGAGGAACGTGCGGGATCACACCTGATACAAATATCAGAGATTACCATCAAAAAACAATTTTTTCGCGGCTTTTTAACTAAAATTTGAAAGAACTCACGCCCGATACTAAAATTCAATCTTCAGCATTACTAGCATCAGTGAAGATATCTAGTTACAAAAGTGTCCACAATTTTTAAAAGCAGAAAACTCCTAAGCCAAGATCAGCATTTATTCAAAAGGGGCAGAAATAAAGCTATAAAACTATTAAAGTTTATTTCATGTGGAGGGCTGCTTGAAAATAATGTCACTATTCCACAATCAATGTGACCTTATATTGAATCTATGCTAACTACATTTGCAGCATAACAGTTAAAGCGAGTTTGCGGCAAGCGTAACAAATAAGATACGACACGGCTCCCAATAGATGAATTGCAGTTCATAGAACAATAGTCATAATATAAAGCAGCTAACCTGAGGTAGTAGTTGGCGACACGTTTGCTGAAGACTCCACCTAACCAGCCTTCCATGGCCACACCATTTGGATCAACGCACCTGGATTAAAACCAATAAAAAATGATGGGTGGAATTACAAAACTAAATACTAAAAATACTACTGATAGGTAACTAACAAAATTGAGTAGGTAGTTGAGCCTAAGAAGATAGATAGGTACTAAGATTACCAATAATCAAAATATAAGAAATCAGACACAATTTAAAATAATTAAACAAACAAACAGATAGTAGTTCCGTTAGATCTGTTTTGGCAAACTTATCAAAATTTTAACCTAATACAAGAAATCTGCAGGAACGATTGCCATCAATTTAAATGACTGCACCAAAAAGGCAAAATGATTGGCACACCAAATGCTATGAAACCAACTAGAATGAAAGTCAAATATCTTCATGCATTAAAACTGGAACAAAAAACGGGGCTATGGTGAGACAGGAATTACAATTTGGTAAATATAGTCATGAAAACAATGCACTTCGAAACAGCAGAGAGTAAAGACGATGCTTTGGTAGTTACCAGTCAGATATGGCGACGGAGACGACCAAGTAGAGTGACGTGAGCGCATAGCAGACTATAAGAGACAGGAGGCCCAGAACCTGAAATATTATACACATCTGGTAATAATTTTGTGCTGTGAAACAGATTATATTATTGAGATAAAACACGAAGAATAATAATTAAAATATATTAAGCACGCCTCGTTAAAATAGCTTGGACATACGGTAGGTAGTTCTTATGAATTACGGAGTCCAGCAAAGAAATTCAAATGAGCGTTTTAATACAATCAAATACCAAAAATCACACAACAATAAGTAAACATTAACACTTATATATATTAAATTGTCCACATTAAACAAATTTATGATTGTCGAGATAGGTACGTACCGAGAAAGTGATGAGTGTTAGGTCGCGCGTGTCGAGCATGGATGCGAATAAAAAAAAAATTCACCGAGAAAGTATAGGTCGTGAGTGTCGAACATGAGGAGGGATTCAACTTGCCAAAAAAGTGAAGAGTAGATCGTGAGTATCGAACATGAGGTGGAATTCAACTCACCCAAAAAGTGAAGAGTAGATTGTGAGTATCGAGCATGAGGAGGAATTCCACTCGCCAAAAAAGTGAAGAGTAGATCGCGACTTGCGAGCAAATGAGGAGGAATTGAACTCACCGAGAAAGTGACGAGTAGATCGTGAGTTTTGAGCAAATGAGGAGGAATTCAACTCACCGAGAAAGTGATGAGTGTAGGTCGTGAGTGTCGAGCAGCCCCGAGCATGAGCACCAGCACGACGAGCATGAGGAGAGAGGCAAGCGTGACCGTACTGGCCCACCTGATCTGTTCGACAAGCTCCACGCGCCGGTACAGCTCATCCAGCACCGGACTACGCATCTGCTTCACATTTATACATACAAACTTTATCAATAAAAAACGATCTCTCATCTTCAATCAAACTTGCAAAAGAACAAATTTAGGACGTACTCAAGCCCTCATGAATGAGGTGTGAATAATTATGGCAGATAATGTAATGGATTAGTGAATAATTCATTTCAATTAACTAATTTTTTTCAATTTTCAATTAACTAATTAGCTGTCTTAAATATTTCGTTCATTATAGTCACTTGAAGCTCGGTCACATATATAACTGTACAAAAAAACGCAATCTTTTTAGAAATATATATACATGCCTAATAGCATTTGATCGAATTTTAAGAGCAATATTACGAAGACGAGAGCTAGATCAAAATTTACCACCCAGAAGCTCTTAGCCTAAACCCAAATTGGAATTCACTAAATCTACAAAACACAATTTCAAAAATCTTCTATTAACAAAACCCCACTAATTCATTTCCTCTTTGGGAGCACTGGATAAATTTCAGGTTAGGCTACCTTGGCAGCAATATCTTCAACATTGATGAGCAATGCATCTGAGATGTTGGTGCTCATGTAGTAAAGTTGATCAAGCAGGGCACCCCGCACGGTCATGTTGGCGATCTCATGATTCTCGATGCGTTCTTGGAAGAGACTAAGCTGAGGCTGCCAGTTGAGTCGCACTTCATTCGTCAGTGAGTCAGTCTGATGGCAACAGAACTATTTCACTTAAAGCCAAAAAATGGTCCTGGAAAGCAGAGCATGGAGACACCATTAAATTTCATATTATAATGAAAAACTAGGTTACAAGACAACTATTATTAATATGTTTTTCTTGCTGATAATCCCCACGCGGTTTTGACAGGTGTCAACACACTACCATCACCCAATGAGCCCAAAAATCTAAGAAGTTGATCTAACTTACTAAAAAAAAGGTACTGTAATGAGGACATGTCTGACATAAATTACTTCAATGTCAGGAAAATTATGATCAAATCTTCTGTCCAACTCATCCAAAGCAGACAAAACAAAAAGCTGTGACACATAAATACAAAACATTAACATTAAATATTATTTATAATAGCATGGCTTTGGAATTAAATACTAATTTAAATGCTCCTGGAATAAACTTTAATAAGTCATAATAGTAAGGGTACGCACACAGTGAAAGCATGTTGCCAGCGTGCTGGTTACCTGCTCAGGCTGGCGCCTGAAACCATAGAATACAGAAGCCTATTCGTACAGGTTTTCACTGTGAACACTTACATTATTATCCTATGTTCATTCTTGTGGCAGGTTGGAGCAGGTTGCCCGCGCGGGCAAATCTGCTTTTACTGTGTGCGTACCCTAAGAGTAAGTGTAGGTACGGTACTGTCCTGTCCAGTGGACAACTAAGAATCATCAACAAATTAATGATTAACAAAATCTGAATGAAAAGGAAGTAAAGAAGCTTGAAAAAATCCAAGCTATATAAACAAACAACCTTTCGAGAATTTCATGAGGATATAAACTAAGTAACAAACGCTTGTGTGCAGTGTGATGAGCTGCGCTGTGATGCGAGACAGAGAATGGAGCACTGCAGTGACACCGTTGTGCACCTCCTGACTGCCCCACACACTTACACCCACAGCACCCAATGTTACCAGAGATGCCAGAACACAAGCAACCTGAAAAGCAAGCAGGAATTGAAATATAGCACAAAATTTATATGTCAAATAAAGATCTAAGGCCAAATTAAAATTGAAAAAGAACATCAACTCGGAATCGGAGCTTGAAATCTCAGTTTCAACTTGGTAATCAAGACACCAGGAAAGTTTTTTGAAGCTCACTGGAAGGAACGTCCCATTACCAAGATGATGTTTCACAACACTAAAATTACTCATCTCAAACAGCAATATCATTCATTCCAAATCACGAGTTACCTTGCAGCAGGTGATGGCTTTCCGAGTACGAGACTTATGGTCACAACACCTGGTGAGCAGATACAGCAGCAGCATCAGCAATGTGTAGAGCAGCAGAACGGCCGGCAGACATCCTATCAAACCCAGACTCTGCAGAATAAACCACAATAATGTAACACACAGGAAAAATATAAACTTCCTCATTGAAAATGCTAAGGGTAACAACTGAAAGGCCTCAGCATTAGTAATCATACATAAAAGTTCTGTACAATTTAGAACATTTTTTGTTAGAATTCAGCACCCTTTCTTCTTGTTATTTATTTGTAATCAAAAAATTTTCTTAATACATTAATTATAAACAATTCTGATTACATTTATTTATGATGGGACATAATTAAATTAATGCTTTATATTACAAGAAGCACTCAAGAAGAATATTTCTTACATTGATGATTCATAGCATAACTGACCTCTTGGTACACAGATGATTTAGGGTTGAAGGTATCATTTACTCGGTTGAAAGACAGGTTCAGGTGTGGTATGTAGCGGAAGTAACGTACCCAAAAACTGACACTGAAGGGCTGGTTAAAGTCATGTTCATAGTTTGGAAATTCAGGATGACCAAGAGTATGGTGAGGAGGCATTCGACTGTCATACTGATCCTTGCCTCTGTCATCCGGAGCACCATAGCTGTTATAGTTGTTATCATCATAGGCACTAAAGTAATCATCATTATCATATGGCATATTGTGTTTGTGGATGGGAGGGTTTTCATATGGTGGTCTATCAATGTGATATGGAGGAGGGGTTAAATAATGGTTCATTTCATCCATTGCTAGCAATTATGTACTCTCATTTATTAAATAACTGTTATGACGAATAAATTAATTTGCCACACTGCATCTGGTCTAATTCAGAATTGTCATCTCAATATCTTTCCAGAACAGTGATTGCAAATGAAAATAAGAAATGTGACTTTTTATGTACTGGTACATAAAATTCAAACAATCCATAGCAGTTGAAGAGTAAATTTTCTGACGAGTTGTCTGGCTCAGAGGAGTATCCTTTATATTTTTCTATTCACAAACTTGAGCTAAATCAATTCATGGTCTTAAAGAATTGGTAGACCATTATACATATAGTGTTTGACTATTGAATTTGTCAAGAAATTTGTCTGATATAAAATATTTTTTCTGTTGATTTTCATGGATGATGGATAGATACCTAAATCCTGAAAAAAAGTTGGCCCTTATGTTATTGTGAGATGCTTAGAAATATTTAAAGCACTATCCATATACAGTAAATGTAACTTAGTGAGTTAATAATTATTAATACAATTTTTAAATCAGATCTTGAAATCTCAGTTTCAACTTGGTAATCTGGTTAGGCCTAGTTAGGTATATAAAATGATTAACACAAGCTTAAAAATTAAAATGGGAAAATATTCCAGAGATTTTATTATTTCAGTTGTACCATAAAATGGGGTAACTTAGACCACTTTTTTTATAAATGATGCCATTTTTTAACTAGCTAAATTAAACTTGAATTGAAACATGCAAAATACAGGTCTATCCTCTAGCTTCACTCACCATAAATTGCTGGCTCCTGCCTCTCATAGTCTTTATGTAATTTCAAAAAAAGTGATGGTCTTTGTTACCCTAGCTCTTGGGGTTTCTTTGACCGGGTGGTAAAATCAATTATATTTTTTGGTAAAATAACTCCAGGTTTTGGTGCATTGTAGTAGAACTCTTCTAGTTACATATGCAAATGACAAACTTGAGGAAAGTGTCATAGTTTGCAAATGGAGGGCGCCGCCCCATAATGAGGGAAATGTGACTACCTAATGGCAGCCCTGATGGGGTAATATTGACTGGCTTGGAAATTAAGTTAAAATTACCATATATAAGACTCTGTAGTCAGAAACATAAAGAAAAAAGATAAATAGGCTGTCAAACATAAAATATATTATATATGGTAATTTTATATTAACTTCCAAGCCAGTCTATGTTACCCCGTCAGGGCTGACATTAGGTGGTCTAAGTTCCCCCATTTGGGGGCGGCACCCCCCAATCCCTATTTGCAAACTTAGACACTTTTCTAAAATTTGGCATTTGCATATGTAACTAGAACTAGAAGAGTTCTACTACAATGCATCAAAACCTAGAGTTATTTAACCAAAAAATAAAAAAATTGGAGGGGGTACTCTGACACGCTTTAAATAATAGCTTTTTTTGTGGGTCACATTTTCAATTTTTTAACCTATTAGATATGCAAAGTGCAAACTTTTTTAACCTTTCTATTGTGTTATGTAGCCTCAGTATTAGGCCTTTAATGCCCATTGGCAAAATTTTTCTATGTCAAATAGTTTTTGAGTTTTGGGGGTTTTTTGTTAAAAAAACGAAAAGTGGTCTAAGTTACCCCGCTGGTCTAAGGTAGGTACCCCATTTTACGGTAAAAGGTAAATCACTTTCAAACAATAATTTTGTGCAAATTATGAAATATCTAGCACCAATAGCAGATATACATGTTACAGTTATAGGTACTTATACATAAACTACTGTAGTCTGTACTATAACTACTATGCGAAACGATTACTGTAGCTATATGCAGAATGCAGATGGATAATGGATCACAGGTCAAATAACGACTGAAGAGAAAATCACAATACTCTATTAGTCTATTCAATTATGGTTATGGTTACGTTGAGTGTTGAAGACTATGGAAAAATGCAATAACACGTAGTACATATTATGAATAAAAATGAATACGGAAGGTCCGAGACAAGGATTACCAGGAATGAAAACTGAAAAGGAGCATCTTCTTTGCTACAACTCTAGTTACTCTACAGTCTACAATCACGTTACTTTCACGTAGTAATCTAAATTTCGTTCTTCAGCTCAAGTTGAAATACGGTTCTCAACAAATGAATAAAATCACAATATAAATAAGATATCATCAGAATGATAATCATCAGCCATCGCCAGGCGCCACAGTGGTTCATCATAAATGAGTCATGAAGTGAACGGGATCGCATCCTTGCCTCCGGCTACCATTGCAGCCGCCAACACCGTTCAACCCGCTGCCCTGTATTGATTTTACACTCACATCACTAAGAACTAAATAAAACCTTATTTTTATTCGAGGGAACAACATTAGTCGTTCATGAAACGGTTCCATGCATCAGTAGTTAATCATNCTTGAACTCACTTGCTCTGCGAAGAGCATTTATATGCCACTCTCCATGAATACATCAAGATGATCATAGTGAAAGTTACGAAACGATAGATAGAAAGTCGATAATCCTGGTGGCATTCAATTGAGATGTTTAAGGTATTGTTGCTGGAGCCCAGTTATCATTACTCTCTAATAATATGCATTTAAAAATTACTTTTTAAAGACAACACTTCTAAAGAATCCGGGGCACCGATTTTACACATGTACAATTAATTTCTAATTATATTATCATATATTAAAAAAATAATTTACATTTTTTTAATTACTTTTTTTTAATTTTCCAAAATTATCTTTTCTGTCAATTAATACATGCTTTGTCTCCCATGGTTGAACTAGTAGTTTATAGTTCAACCATGTTGTCTCCGACTTAATGCAAGTGTGCAAAACTTCAGATCGATTGGACAGATAGAATTGTGTCAAATATTGATTATAAGTTATGTAGCAGAATTTTTTTCAATTTTTTAATATTGAAAGTAAATTTTTTTTATTTTTCAAAAATATTTATTCTGTCAATTGATTCATGCATTGTCTCCAACTTTACGCAATCATTGCTCTCTAAAAAGGATTATCACTTTCGATTATTGCCATCAAAAAAAAAAAAAAACAATAGCGATTTGCGAGCTAAGGTGATCGGCGATTTGAAACTGTTTCCAATAACTGACCGTGATTCAAACTATTCCATTATATAGTTTTTACGGTATATTCCTCTCGCAAAACACCTTCTTCACGCAAAAATGACTTAATTACTTTTGAAAGCCTAACAAATACGTTTTGAGTCTAATCACATATTTGTCGGTGTTGCCTCTTGCTATTACGTATACTTCTAGAAAAATATAGACCGTGGACGCTGATCCATCTCTAGAATTGTGGAGATATTTGTTATCGTGTTCGGGAAATGGTCATTTTTAAAATTGAATTGACAAAAATAAAAATACAATACAATATTGCAACTTACCCGATATGATTAGAGGAGAAATTACAAACTCTGAGTTCTTCGACGCGTGAGACTCTTGAATGTTAGATAACTTTTCAATCAAAATTATGCTCGTGTTTTAGAAAAATAATTCCTATTAAAGTTTTGGTAATTTGCAGCGATTTTAAAATTTAATAATGTCAAAAAGTCTTTGTCCGAATTCTACAATTACCGTCTGTTAATACGCTGCGTATTAATTAGCGTCCACAAAATCAACAGATAGAGCATAACACATAATTTGTGAACATGAAGCCTAAATTGTCCGTATTAAAAACAATAACTTAGGCATTTTTCCGATAGGTAGTTATTTCTTTCGTCTTTCAGGTAATACAGTCGTCGTCACGAATTGAATACAGTCGTGGTTAATCAATGTGTTTCAAATTTGTGAAAACTCAACACCTAATTTATGGTTAGTATCACAGCAGTACCTCTCTGTGATTCATAAGTTGAGCATCACCGCAATATTCAAGTGATGTGCAGCACTGGAACAACTACGAAAGAGACCAAATCACAAGACAAAAAAACATCCGAAGCGCAGGCCTACCGTACTGTTTTTTTCATCAAAAATGAACCCACATTGCACGTTTCGCACTAATAAAACACTGTATCTCGTTTCGATATAGTAAAATAATGAATGTATTCGAGCATCATATTTGATGACTTTTGATCGGCACGATTCAATGTTAACTATTGAGAATTAAGAGGTTGAGACATGGTATCAAATCCATTTATTAAAACTCTGTACAACACGACTAGCATTACAATGCAAGGGAAGTGAACATGAGCAATACGATCCAAATTATTTCCTATCTTCTACAAGGTAGTATACTAGCTGCGTCCTTGGGCGATTCTGTAATGTTTCGCTACCAACATTTCTTGCAATTTAAAAATAATGAAGAAGCACAGAAATACGGTAAATGCAGTTTAAACTTAAAATATCCTCGCTAGCTCACAGCCTTAGGGCATTTAGACATGTTGGTGCTCCTTCTCAAAGCCACTTTTGCCCCGGGCGTCATTCCTTGGAACAGAACCATCTATAACAATTGTTATAATAGGAATTCAAATAATAAAGCTGATCGAGTGTCCGCAGGGAGACCAAGAATCGATTCCTAAATTCTTTTAAAAAATCAGTAATATGTTGGCAAATTAAGTTACGAGAACATATATTAAAAAATTCCGATTTAATCGTAGGAACTACACCCTTGAGTACGAATTATTTTTATCAAGGCTCTTCAGACATTTTTACTTACATTGAATCCTGTTCCCGAAGACTGAATATATCGCTCCCGTGAATTTCGACTCAAGGTTTTCGCGATACGGGGGAGCCCTGAATGCGACGTATAGACCGATAAGAACGATTAATTATAGCTGCTTGCGTTATTCTGGTGCGTTGAGAACAAGAAATGATTTTGATGATTGGGTGAATGATTCCTTGTGTTTGGAAATTTACTTAAACATTTACGCTTCTTGAGATATCAAACTAAAGGTGGGTTATAAATAACGGAATGATATGGAAGGAAATATGCACAAAATTTGAACGAACATTGCACATGCAGCAACATTTCAACAAAGTTTTATAACGAACAATTCGTGCTAAAATCCACTAGCCTGTTTGAAAAATAACTATATGTATGAACAGAATAAATGGAACTAAATGAACTCAAATTTTAAACTCCAAAATACTTCCAGTGTGAATCGATTCTTGACCGAATTTACCCGCCTTGGCAATAAAGTCAATTTTAACTGAAAAAAGTCAAATCATAGTTTTAACGGCTGCTTGAAACTATGTGTGGGGGATCATCAAGTACTTTGTACGACATAATGAATTGGCAATATTCCTTTGTTTACCAAAAGGGCAGACCAACATCGGTAATAAAAAATAACAAACAAAACGGAATTACACCAAATGCAATTGCGTACAGGTTGAGTTAATGAACGGATAGTAATTGCTGAGAGCAAAATAAATCTACAGAAGGGAGAGCAAAATGGAATTCCTCTTTCATAAATAAAATTGACTTAAATCTGTTTGAAAATATCAAAAATAGATAAGATGGATTTGCTAAAAATGGCACAAACAATATGTTAACTGAATGCCATTTTAAGAGTGATAGAAACATCAACTTGTGCAACTGAAAAAAATATGAAAAAACTGTTATACAATGCATAGAATACGAATTTCGGATTCTTTTATTCATATAAGTAATGCGCAAATTTATAATTTCGAAAATAAAATGAGCATAAGGCGTTTTGAAGAAAAGCTACATATCCTGAAAGTCAGCATAACTTCGGCGGCAATTTCATACTGTCAAATAAAAAAATAATTGAGCTTAAGGTAAATCTACATTACATTTCTAGAAGGTTGGCCTAACATCACTCAATGCTAGCTAGAAGGAAAATGTAGTATATAGAGGTTTGAGCACCACTTTCGAAATAACGCATTACGGACTTTTTTCGTAACGAAAGACCATTAAATTTCCTTGTATATATGAGTTGTAATGAGGATCCTTAAGGTAGAGACGTTAACCATGTGTTATAATTTCTGAATAATATTTTACTTCCATGTTAGAAGATGTATTTCTTTTTGTATTGAGAGAGCACAAGTTTTCTGGTCTGCTTAGTCGAGAAATCCGACGGGCAGTGATCTCCAAAAAAATTATGACGATGACAGTATGATTTTTCGTATGGTCTTTTTTTACTATGTGTAGGAGTGTTGGCAGAGGAGTGATTATTAGCAATCAGCTTGCAATTTCTAAAAAGCCAATCCCGATTTTCCTTATCAGCTTCAATGGCGATTTCGACTCGGTGATCGTGTTCGTAGCTGTGTCCAGACTCGCACTGTATTGCGTGCCTCCAACGCGATCGTTTCAAAGGAGAACCGTACTCCTTGAAGTCTACCACTTCGAAGACGTTGTCATAATCATGCTCAGTGAACAGCACCCGCGTCGAAGTGTGGGTAGCAAACTCAATGCGGTCAATGTAGTAGAAATTGAATGAGAACCTTGCGTTAAGTTCGCACATTGAGATCGTGAAGCTAACGTTCCCGTACATGTTGTGTTCCTCAGGTGGCAGAGCGGGAGCGAACCACAAAACCTGTGAAAGTAAAAAGAATGAAAATAGAATGCACTGTTCTGAATGAACCACGGATGAAAATTTAAGATGATATTCAATCATTATTATAATTTGTGAACTTCAGTAGAATTTTACTTCACGTGAACGTGAATACGAGTGAATCTAGACAAAGATCAATGTATTTGTGAAGTAGGTACATTGATCACGCTTTTTATGTCCAATTAATCTTACATGAAAAGCTCGTAATGAAGACAGATTGATGGAATAACTCATTGAAAATTTTAAAGACTATTAAAAATATATAAATTTTTTGCTCATTGACCAATCGATTTCGATTCATTACATGTATTTCACAAATGAGAAAAAGAAGACATATTTACTGACTCCCTGATTTTGTATCGATATAATTCTTTCATTTCATTCATTTTAATCGTGACAGGATGAAAACAAGCAATCTCACCGAGTCCACGCTGTCAGTATCAACAACTTTGCTGCCGAGTCGGTGAGGAATTAGAGTCGATTTCCTGTAGCAGCGAGTGAAGTCGCTCAAGTGCATGCATCTGGAAATCTCGTCCAAATTGCCATACCGCACGCCATTTAGTGTCTCAGCTTCCAAGTGTTTTACCATTTTTCAGTAAATAAGGAAGTCTGCAGAAGTTTGTACGTTAGTAATAATTTGTAGATACTAAATATCAACAGGAACGATGTAACCTTGAGGCTTGAACCGACACACATTCAAAACGTACATACACTACCTCAGTTGAATACCGTTAGATCTCGTGTAAACAGATGCTACTGATACACTCATAAATTTCTCGATAGTCGTTGTATCTATACTACTACTAGAGTACTATTAATTAAATACTATTTTTTGCGATGATTTATATGAATTTTTCCGTTTGTCAGGGGTGAACTCTTCATTTGAGAATATATTACGGTCCTAACTCCTACAACTTCGTAACATTTCAAGCTCTCAAGCATTTACCTGAAGGTCTTGGTAAGGTTGGGGCAGTAATCGACCTACTGTTTTTCTAGCAAATGAGGATCGATGTACGTAAGTCAAATTCATATAAAGAGAGGGTACAGTCGGGAGAAATGAAAACTCCTAGGTTAAAAAAACTCAATAACAATTGCATTACAAATTTGAGTCGTTGCGAATCTGTTTTTGCAACTTCATTGCTCACAGTCACTGTAACACCAAAGTGCCTCTGCTGCCTCACACTGCTCAATCGTTTCCTCACCATCAATCGTTTTGGTATCCTAAATTGCTGACCAGCTTTAAGAACATAAATTTAACTCGAACCTAATTTTAGACTTGATTCAACGCCAAAATTAATTAATACAATTTACGCTGTTCAAAGAACAGTAATGGGATTTTATCTCTAAGAGCATGAAAACGCCCATCTTACCACTTACGATAGCCTCATGCAACTGACACTGTCAAGAGTCATGACTACGCTTTTTGATGCAACTCGCTGGATCCGAGTTATATATGACCGGATAACACGTTCAAACGTCGATACTATGTTATCGAAGTTCGTATGAAATTGATCCATCAATTTCTTATCGATGACTAAACTTTTATCGATATTGAATCCCGAGTGAATCACGAGATTATTTCGGTTCTTGTAGTTGTTTAGCCTTTCTTCTTGGCAAGATTATTTTTCATGATACTGTTGGGAGATTTTGCTGAAAAAATTAATTAGTGCTGAACTACCTTGACGCTTGATAATGAATTTTGGTATATTCTGAACCTTGTAAACATAATAAAAATCTCATTTTATAACCTGATTTTATATTGATTAAAACGGAAAATATTGTTCGACTAATTGAAAAAAAACTGATAATATCAGTATAAATAAAACTCATTTTCTGGTCTTTAAATAAGCTTGTTTTTTCAAACATATACAGGGATTTTTCCCTCCTCAAACAATGGTACAGATACCACAATATTCAATGTCTAACAGCTAACAGGCGTATATTTGAAAATGAATAATGCTCGTTTTGTACCATTTAATTATGCAAAAGTTATTTTAAAATACGGTGCATAAAAAATGGTTCATAAATTCATAAATCACAGGTCAAAAAGTGATTCAGCAACAAAAAAAATGTATGAATGATATGGTCTTCTATACAGGGTACATAATTCATTAGAATATATCATCATTTAAGTGCGGCTTTTTAATTTCCTTGTAAAAACTCAAATTTTCTGGAATTGGAATTTATTGACTCATCTTTATTGGGTTTCAATCCCCAAAAGTGTTGGTGGTGATTCACATAAAAAAAACACCAACGACTGGAGTGAACATACATATAAATGCCAGCGCAATCTCGTCATAGAAGATAAGTTAGTTGACGCATGCCTGCCCAATGAGAAGATGATGTCCAACCACGATGATGTCATAATGATATGATAATGATAACGTGCTGAAATATTGGGGAAAGGGAAAACACGTGTCCTTGTTATAGAATCGCATCTGAAATTAGTGACAGTTATGTATTAAATTTTACGAGTGACCCAAACCTATTTCATACACCTTTCTGCACCCAAGTGTAGAATGCAGGGATAACCGCACCGACAATTACACGGCCAATTTGCTGGTAAATTTATGCTTTCGATTTCAAACTAATTGTTTCTAATTTAATAAAAAAAATAGTTATCAGGATTCTGCCACAGATTCCATTAGAATGAGAACAAAAGTGACTGAATGTACAGGAATGGAATCTGTAATTTAGTCTAGATTCCATGAGTCGTTTCATACGACAACATAAACTGAAATAATAAATAATATCAAGTCAAAATCGGCCGGCGTATTGACTTGACAATAATTGACTTAGTGGTGGCAACTCCGCTCTCTAAATGCTTTTAACAGTGTAAACTTAAAAATTAAATTTTAATTCACTCATAGCCATGTTGGTGCTTTCCCGTTCATAAAGTTAATCCATTATTGCATTTAAAATTAGAGCACGTTGAATACAATTTTTTTCATTTCAACACCCACTTTTCAACTTGCAATATTTTGTTCGTTTTCTTCAGGGGTTAATATTGCTAAGTATAATTGAAGTGACAACCAGATAAGATTTTTCTTAATATCGACCAGCTGCAATGAAATTTATTACACATTCATAAACGGAATTTTAATGAATTTTTTTACTAATAGAGGGTTTGCAATGACTGTTCTTAAAATTCATTTTGCTTCAATTTGAAAATGAAATGACAGCATTGAAGATTAGTTGACGAGAATGACATTATCATATCTCTCGGATAAGCGATCGCCAGCTAGCGACGCCTTGTTAACCCGCTGTTTTTTCATAAATCTTTACATTCTTGAGAGTAATTCGAGTTAGTTCACACAAAACATGTTTAGGGATATCACCTTAGCCTGAAATCTTTTTTTTTTTTGATATTCGAATCATGAAGCAATGCAAGTGGGTGAGGGAAGAAGGGAGAATTCTAACAGAAATTAAAAGTGTATTTTGTAATATTGGTATTTCATTCATAAATGAAAATTCTTTTTCAATCAACTTTAAAACCCTTAATATAAATTCGAGGTCCTTGTTGATCGCTGGTTAATAGGGTCGTAAATTTAAACGCTTAGTATATTTTTTTACCGTGTTCCAAGTTTCCCTACGGTTCACATGAACATAAGAATTATCTAAAATATTCCAATGACAATTTTGATCCATTTTTACCTCCCGAAGATTGAATTACCTAACGCGGTGTCCTGCTTAAACGATCTAAGTGGTTACTGATAATAAACGCTATTATCAGAAAGTCGTAAGAGAAAGTATGTAGATATTTAAAAAATTTTGGCTAAAAATAAATGCTAAGTAACTAATTATGGAATTTTTGCATGCAAATTATGAAATTTTACCATAGAAATTGTGAATTTTTTGTATAAAAGTTATTAAATTGTTGTGCATAAATAACTATATTTTTTATAGAAATTATGTCATTTTTGCTTGAAAATTATGACATTTTTGCACAAAAATTATGCATTTTTTTAAACTTTTGGACCAAAATTTATGAATTATTTTTTGCACCAAATATTATAAATTTAAGACCACATTAACTGTTTACATTTTTGCGCAAAAACTATGAAATTTGTGCATTCAAATTTCGAAAGTTTTGTTATCAAATTTTGAAATTTTTGTATCGAATTTTTTATTTTTTTCATAAAAATTATGGAAGTTTTGCATAAAATATTGATTTTTTTGCATTAAAATTGTGAAATTTTGCGGAAAAATTATGAAATTTTTAGCATACAATATAGAACAATTTTGCACATGATAAATAAAAAATTTGTACTGGGACCGTTTTCGCACCATTAACTTATGAAAAATGAAAAACGCCTATTGATTGCTGGGAAATATTTTTAGGAATGATTTTAGTTTGATTAAAAACCATATAATGAGAGGAACAAATCATAAAAATTACAGTTAGTACAAATTGATTTACTGCTGAACAATTTTGACCATACTTATTCAAGTACATATTAATTTACATCCAACATTTTTCGACCAAACTTATTCAAACAGTTCACATAAAAATCCTGCTAATATGCACCGTTGCTCATTTGGCTAAAAATTTTAATAAAAATACGCACAATTAAGTATAAATCACCTAATGTATAAATGATAGCTGTATGCAACTAATAGATTATATTTGTCAGAAGTGAGCTAGAAACATCCACTACAGTTGATGGCAACAAAAATTTTTGGCCCTGTAAGTTTGAAGTTAAAGCCTAAAAAATAACTTTTCAACTGATAACTGAAGATATAAAATTATAGCTACAGTTGCTGCTAATTCATAAATTAGCAGCAACTGGGTCAAAAACAGATTTGAAATGCCTAGCACCATATCGAACCCGGTGGAAGTCTAGTAGTTACTTCAAACCTAGTAGTAGTCTAGTAGTTACTTCCTCAGTAATGAAAATATTCGGTCAAATGACACGATTTTAGATATTCTGTCAACAAGGCACAAAAAGGAAAAGAATCGGCGACAGGCCACATCAGGCCTACACTTCAGCGCCGAGATCACTATGTTATATTATGTTAAAAAAATTACAGGTAAAGGGTTTCAAATTATGCGCTAAAAATTTCCGGTGAATCAACCTCCATAATGCCTAGCACCATATCGAACCCGGTGGAAGTCTAGTAGCTACTTCAAACTATCGTCAGTCGTGAAATGATCCGGTCAAATGACACGATTTTAGATCTTCTGTGAACAAAACATGAACCAAAACTTTAACCATTTCCTTATTCGTTAACCGAATACCTCTGCACAGGAAGTATTACTATTTGTCCATGAAATTCAATTTAGTTCTACGTTCCAGTATTGCTTGCTGCTTCTGCTTCAGTTCCTGAACCAATGCGGGTCAAATCCGATCAGAAACACAATTTAAGTCGTACTAGACCAACTGCAAAAACTCAACCATAACTTCAAACTAGTATCTGGAATCGGTTGTAACTGGTCTCTTGCACGCAGTACTGCAAGCAAAGAATTGACCGGGTGTGTTCAGGGAAGAAATTCGACGGGCAAGGCCTACCAAACAAATTATAACGATGGCAAACATGTGGATCGTATCTTGCACGATTGTTAGAAAATGTAAGAATGTTGGCGCATGAGTGATTATTGGCAACCAAATCACAGCTCTCATACAGCCAATCTCGATCTTCTCTGTTGGCTTCAATAGCAATCTCGACTTTGTGGCTGTGATAGTCGCTGTATCCAGACTCGCATTGTATAGCATGCCTCCAACGCGATCGTTTCAACGGAGAACCGTACTCCTTGAAGTCTATCGTTTCGAAGACGTTATCATAGTTTTTCTCAGTGAAGAGCACTCGCGTCGATGTGTGGGTATCAAATTCAATGCGGTCAATGTAGTAGAAATTGAACGAGAAACTCCTCAACAGGTCACTCATTGAGATCGTGAAGCTAACGTTCCCGTACATGTTGTGGTACTCAGATGGCATAGCCGGAGAGAACCACAGCACCTGAAAATAGAGGATCCAGAAAATAAAAAAGATATGAATGCTAAAATGCACAAAATTGAACAAAAATCACAAAGATCTGTAAGCCTTAACAAACCCAGCTAAAATTCTAACAAAGTTATGTGTAGAGAAAGTTAACTGGTTGTGAACAACCCATGCATTTCAAGTTTTCCGCTTTGCATTCAAAGGTGAGAATGCAGTCTAATGAATTATTTGTTTACGATACCGCACCGTTGCGATTACAGAAAAATACTGACATTTTGGGTCAGTTTGTAGCAAATGAAGTTCAGTCAATAAATGTATCAATCAAAGTGCAATCACAATAAGTCACAGCCATTTTTTATAACGAGTGACAGCTTTTTCAGTCTTCAAATGCCAGACTAAGCGTTTCCATAAAATATAAGAAACAATAATTGAAAATTTTGTTCAAATGATGTGCTTCGAGTAGTCACTTTCCCTGCGTGATATTTTTGATGTTTTTAATTGCTCATGTTTCCAGAAGACAGCCAACTAGGGTATGCCAGTATCATGCACTTATCCACACACCCATGCAAACTCACAGGTTTCACGAAGCGGGTATCCACAATTTCGCTGTTGAGTCGGTGAGGAATGAGAGTCGACCGCCTGTAGCATCGGTCGAAGTCACTCAAATGCAAGCATCGGGAAATCTCGTCCAAATTAACGTACCGCACACCATCCAGAAGTTCTGCTTCCATGTGGTGGGCCATATTTACGGGAATTCAGAAGCCTGCAAAAGATTCATGTTTTAAGAACATTTTTTATACGAGGCATCGGGAACGCTATAAAACTGTAAAATTGTTCATTTTCAAAACAAAATATGATCACTATGCGGTTTCCGCTAGACCTGTAGTCTTATGATCTATAATTCTATATGTAGCAATGTTATAGATTTGTTTCAGTTATATTATGTGTAATTAGTCTTTAATTCTGTCTTGCATTACCAGCATTATCTCAAGCCACAATTACTAGCCAAATAATGATTAATGAGAATGAATTAATATTTTTAATGGCAGAAAAAGATCATCCGGTTAACCTTACCAGGCGAAAACCCCAAGTAAAATGAACATGAATCTTGCCGTCGGTCATACCCACTGCAGAAGATAAAGCATTGATAACTGTTATCTATTCCTGTTCTCATTGCTTTAAGCCTGATAGACAAGATACCAAAGTACTTAACCAAATAAGTGACCAGGAAAGCCTGCAAAATTGGCATCGAACAGGAGACCGTGACCGAGCACATCATGATAGGTACTGACGATAGGTGGACAGCAGAGCTTATGTTTATCGGTAATGACTGGATCTTGACGAATGAATTAATGATGTCGACAAAACGAATAGATTTTCTTGTGATAAAAAGACTACCAACTCCGAGTTGAAGAACTGGTTGCTGATTGTCAAGATAGGATAAGGAAAATAATGGGTCGTATTTGATGATTCTACAGAACAGAGCACCTGCATTGGAAGCTAGCTACCTATTCTTGTTGGAAGCGACCGCTAAGAGGAAAATAAATAATAATATATAAAATTACCGATTTCTAAAAAGCCACACATTTGTTGTCAAAAAGGTCCTGGATAAGAATATTATTACCTGCAAGACAAAGCAATGCCAATGGAATGAACAACAGAACAAGGAACTTACGTTGGTTTATTACATTGTCAGCTACAAATCCTATAACTGATATTTGACACACTTTTACCTGTCTAATTGATCTGAAATTTTGCACACTTGTGTGAAGTCAGAGGCAATGCATGAATTAATTAACAGAATAAATAATTTTGAAAAATTAGATATTAAACAAAATTTATATATTAAAAAAATTGAAAAACTAATTTTTTTAATTTTCGAAAATTAAACGAGAAATTAATTGTACATCTGTAAGATTGGAGACACTGGATTCTTTGGAAGTGTTGTCTTTAAAAATGTATTTTTAAACGCATATTATTTTAGATTGAGCTTTGCTTGAACAATCTGATTCGTCAGTACTCATTGGAGGGAAAACGCGTAAAACACGAATACTCGCCTGTACAGTTTATCACTTGCGCGTATCGCAGGATTGATCTTACGTTGGAATAGTTTTACGTTCGAGTGGTTCAGACCCAACAACATCACTCTATAGCTCCAACTGTTCAAGCGACACTAGTCACATAGGCATGGGGCCTGATGGAGGCACGCAACTGACAACAAAACACTAGCTGGCAACCGAAATCGCCCGCGAATCGGTTCAGGAAGGGGCACCATGCAAGCAGACACAGATGCCTTTGTTCTTCGTGACATTTTCACCTCTTATTTTCCCTTCAAATTGAAAACGACATGACAGTCTATAATTTCGTGGACTTTATAAACAATCGATCACGCCTTACGAATTTTCAATCTACCACATAACGTTCACTCATTCCAGCATTATACCTGATGTTTTCAGAGTAATGGCGCTTTTTTGCGACTACAAGCTTGTCGCATCACTGGTAAATTTCTTACGCTCAATTTCGTAAGTCATCATTTTACTATCAGAACCTCAATTTTATAACTAATAGGTTAAACTAATAATAATTAGTTAATAACGCGTTAATAATAATTCAACTAATGTGAATTGCGCTTTAATAGTAATTAAACCCCAACTCCCAACTGACTGCCTTCAACATTTGGAAAAACCATTTAGTGTCTTCTAAGTTAAATTATATAAGTCTTGAACGGTTTGAATAACAATCTCCCGTTTTAAAATGAAATTATATACCCAATCTGTTTTTCACAGTTATGCAATGCCTTACCTTTACTATTCTTCCACTAAAAATATATTTCCAAGTCCTGGTAATATCCCAACACGAGAGTATCGTGGATACGCGGCCGTGCAGCTCTTGCATATGTGCGGTGTCAGGCTTCCAACACATAAACAAACATGGAATGGAGTAATGGGAAAGAAACAAACACTAGATTAAAGGGAAGATAGGAAGAATAGAGTAACAAGGAGGAGGGAGTGGCCTGGAGAAGGGAGAATTGGCGCGACGTAATGCAGATTGATTATCCATGGTGGCACCACCATGAATAACCGTCACCAATTTTAGAGTTTGAATTATATATATAGTTTGGTTTGGGCTAACAGTCTTTAACTACAAATTCGAACATATATGGTACTACTTCACGCACACGTATTTAGACAGGAACGTACTAACTCAGCCAGCAATGCCTAACGCGAAACTTTTATTTGATCAAGATCATTGGCGTGCTGCAACTCGTAAAATGAGAAATAACTTATTCCAAAAGTGATATACAAATTACGACACGATGGATAATTTTATTTTTGCAATAATAATGGTGTTCACTCAGGAGTAAGCAGACACTGATTTTGCTTTGGCGGATGAAAGATAATATTCTATATTTTTAGAAGAAAAATAAATAAATATTCCTTATTTTTATTCTTTTCATTTAGAGTGCAACTCGGCGAGGCCCAAACTCCGACCGAGCTTCAAGCGATCAGAATACAAGAGCGCAGAAAGGCCAGAGTTGTCAAATGGGCCTTTTTTCCGGCCAATTATGAAGATTTGTGCCATTTCCAAACTTAATTGGCCGGCAAAAATAACATAAAACCTCTTGAAATTTATTTACTGTCATTGAAATTTTTCACTTAGACATACGAGAAAAAAATTGGTTGTTTTCCTTATTGATTTTTCTTTTTCTTTTGGCCCCCATTAAGTTAAAATTTGACCCAAAAAGTTCGATACATAAATTAATATTTAATTTTGTTGATAATTTACAGTTTGCACGTGAATGTCGTTGGGGTTTGATATGTCATTGAAAGTATCTTGTTGAAAATAATTACTCCGAACCAGGAAAATGGTTATCAAGTTACTCGCGGCTGTTGAGACAGACGTACCGGCTCGAAGCATCAATCAACCCCCACTCTCATATTGAGGTCTGTAGAGGCACGAAGATATGAAATTTCTGCAACATGGACAATAATACGACATAAAAACGAAAAATTCATGTTTATCAGTCTTTATAAATTGAGCATTTATTCTCCGAAAAAACTCACCATTAATATGTGTCTTTATCGAACAAGGTAAGTTGAAATTAATCCCAATTTACATGGGTTTCATACAATTTAGTCTAAATTTATGATTCGAATAACGCCATAATCAACCTTATGACTTAACAGTTTTAAATCAGATTTAGAAGTTAAATATCTTCCAACCTGATAAATAATTTAGTCAGAAGACGTAAAAACAAATTTTACTAACACAAATTAGTGATGTGGATTCAAATACATTATTTGTTTGCGAGACTAAGTCAGCAGTGAGCAATCAACAAATCGTTTTCTTCATGTAATTAAGAAAGTTATTTTCTTCCAAAGGGGAACCCCTGTTCATTTCGAGAGCGGTTTGTTGCAGTCTCCATCCTGCCACAAAATGGGCTGGAACTTTAATGCCGGTGGCAATAAAGTGCGAAAACGTTCTGGAATTTCCACATGATATCGTCGAGCGTAAAAGTATGGCTGTCGGTGAATTTTCAGTCATATCCTGTCGTCTTCAAGGTGACCCTCATGCTTTACTTATGACATGCTCTCCATTGACAACATAGAATTTTACAGTAAAAATCATTGAAAGTATTTTATTAGAATATTTCATTCCAAATTAATAACACGATTGATTGGGGTCACTGAACGAAGCTGCAAATTAATAGTTAAAAGAAGTCTAGCCAACACAACGGTTACAAATCGGCCGTTAAAATTTGTAACTGCATTTTTAATCCAATAATTTCGTCTCGAATTATTCAAAAATTATGAAGCTGAAGAAATTTCTATAGTAGGTTTGCAATTTACTGGATCTCTATTCCTGCTTACATGTATTGAAGGCATAATTGCGAAATGTTTGTTTTTCCATTGCCGACAAGGGAAATTAATGAAGCTGACGCACCGAATATTTTCTTAATTGGCGGAAATAGTTTTCTTGAAGCCACTTCTAGCAATAACATTACTGTGAACCAACTCCAACACTCCGACAATAATCTCGCATCAATTTCTTTCGAAGTAACTTTTACATCAATGCTCTTTAAACTAAAATCAATCCAAAAAATGCTCCAATTCTAAAACACCACTAAGCTCCTGTTCGCTACATCAGAAGGTCACTTGAAAGACGTGCGTGTTTCTCGGTCCAATTTACTGGCACGTTTCATCGGTTCTTCCCCCTGGAAAACACTTTATTCCTGCGCCGCGGGCGTGGTTTTGGAGCCGCGGTGGCCAGCGAGGTCATTCCATATATTGCGGTCGCCAGCTTCCGACAGCCTCAGTGTGGCGCAGACGTTGCTGGAGTGAGGGTTACGCTACGTCAACACAAGACAGAAACATAAGAGAGCCGTCGATTCGACATGATTCGCTCGGTACGGATACAGTTTGAGAATTGCTATATATATATATTTTTAGGACATATAGTTACCTGACTTCTTGATTTTATGGCTAGTGAAGAAATTGGAGTTGATGTTCTAAATTCGAAGTTAACACGATTTAAATTTGTTGAAAGCCGGAATGAATTAAAAAATATTTTTAAAAACGACCTTCTTAATTACTATTATAGACCTGGAGTATTAAGTAAAGAATCCCTATATACTCGTTGCTAAGACGATGCTGTATCACGACTAACTTGACATTGCTCATGCAAGTTTGTTTACCAAATAAATATACTCAAGTTGTCCCATTGTCATTCAGATGAGCTCTGAAGTACATGGTCAGGCGTCCTTGATAAAGCTAAGTTTGGTGGACAGTGTGAATTGTTCATTAATATTGCGACTCTAATTTGATTTCCAATAGCAGCGCATGTTTATATGTACGATATCTTTAGAGCGGCATCAAACATGCCGACATGTTCTCAGTGTATCTCTGCATGCTCATTCTTTTTTGGTAGTGTTAGTTGTATTTCCAGAGGTAAACAACTTAGCAATGTATACTTTTATATTACAATAACAGCTGAATAATCAGGTGCAAAATCAAGGAAATATTTATTTGGTGCTTGTAGCAACTGACTCAAAGTTGTACGTATTTCATTGCTGTGTTACCACCTCAGATTGCGTGAATGCAATTCAATATCCACTTTACAACATTTGCATTTCGAGTTACATTCTACGCCGGCGCTAATTAAAATCCATTGCTGTTTTTGTTAGCCATTAACAACCATCTCGGTGTAAAATATTCATCTATGTTGATGTTGTGATATTAGCGCATCTTACAGAACATTAAAACAATTTATCTTTAGTTAAATTCCAAAGTTAGTAACACAAATTTAATGCACTACGCTATCTCATTTAAGCTTACACATTTCGATTTGAGGATATTAATATTCGAAACGTTCATCAAGATGACACCTCGACGCAGTCACCCATACAAGATGGTTACCTCGATCAACACGCTATGTTCCACAACGCAGGCCAAGTAAAAGAATTTTCTTATTTCTAGAAATTCGTGACCGATCATTTACACAATCAGGCATTGCCTTATTTTTAACACGATTTATTGCGCTCGTAAGCTGTCTGCGCGATCATTCCCACGTCGAAAATATTCTCTCACAAATTCCAGGCTTGACCTTCGTTCTTTTTTGCCCGTAGGATCGTCTGCCGAAGTGCCGCCATCTTGCGCTGTTTTTACGATACGTTGTTATGTGTCATTGAGTCCACCACAATTTTTCAAGAAGTTCCGTAATGGTTTTAGTGATGAAGTTACTAAAATGAAATTATTGCGGAGTTCTCATTAAATGAAAATTGCGAACAGCGCATTGACTGTATTTCGTTTACGGCCGTCGGTTCGGTGTCTCGAGAGCAAATAACTAAAAGAAAGGACATATTTCTTGGAATTATATTCGTTGTATCAGTGAAGTACGATTACTTCGGTGATACTGGAAAGTTGCTCGAATAAATATGAACTGTTGTCCAATTCGGAAACTACGCCTTTGAACTTAGCTGACAATGTGGATGACATTTAATTTACATTTACCATTTCGTAAACAAAAGGTTGTGGAAATCTTCTGCCAAATTTTAATTGTGAGAATTAACGCCAGTATATCTAAACAAGCCTTAAATTTATCGAAAAATTTGTATGTAACTTTTTTTCTTGATTTGTAAAAAGTTAACAATGTTGAAATGCGGGCTCCATAATTTCCAGCTATTGATGCACGACTTTCCCATGCCCTCGGCGCTGGGGCGACCCTGTCGCCTCGTAATGCAGCTTCCTAAATGCCAAGGCCGGGCAGGGGTCGGCCGTACGTATATTAGATGCCGCGGAATGTCGTGAAACGGAAGACACGAAATGCACTTGAAACCAGTGAATAAAAAGTCGCCGTCTCTCACTCATTAGCGATTCATTTCATTGATGGGAAATTTGACATTATGGCCAACTTAGAGAAAATTATATATATAAAAGGAATAAATTTTTTCGGGCATTCCATATATGATAAGGAAGATGCGCGCCAAAATAGCAGAGTTATGCACCCCTGGACCTAGATGACTTTATTTGTTGTTTTGCAAAATTGCACTGAAACAACTTTGATTACGAATATAAACTCAACTCCCCTTATTTGCATCTGATATTTTGAAATTGTCCCCTTCATTAAAAGTTCTCATCGTGTTATTCATGAGATACTCTCATGTGATACCTCGGTAATTCGAAAGGTTGGAATTTTCAGTGATCAAGATAAGGACTCTATTGCCGTTTCAAAGCATCTATATTTTCAGGTTGCTGTGTCGCTGGTGCTGACGGTGGCCTGCTGCGCTGCGCAGACGCTAGTCCGCTTTGCACCGTCCGTGGGATATGCTGGTGACAACACTCCTGTCGCTGCTGGCTTTGCCTATGCCTTCCGAGCTCCTGCTGTCTTCAAGAGAGCAAAGTCGTTCGATGTTCGACCTATTCTTCCCACTGACGAGTCAAAATATCTAAGCCAGTCTTTCGACTCACAGCATCAAAATACCATCGTGCCTGTTTTCCATTCTAAAGTATCTAAACGCGAACAGGTCAAAATTCCAGTCTACCAGGAGGTGATCGTTCCTGAAGAATTGAAGACTCAATACCACAGCCAGGATGAGCTAGGTCAGTACGCCTATGGTTACGTCCATAACGACGCCTCCCATCACGAGGAACGAACTGTGAATGGAGGAGTGACTGGTACTTACTCGTACTACGACGATCTTGGTCACAAACAGTCGGCCAAATATGTAGCTGATAGAAATGGGTTCAGAGTGGTAGCAACAAATCTGAACAATTACCAGCCTGAACCTGTGTTGCAAACACCGGAGGTTTTGGCGGCCACGAGAGCTCACCTACAGGCAGTCAAGAAGGAGAAGTCAAGAAAACTTTTAGGTAAATACATTCATGTTGGTATCAGTGATACTCCTGAGGTGGCTGCTGCTCGAGAAGCACATTTGCGAGCTTACGATGAGATCAAGCGGGCTCACCAGAAGCGATCGAAGCGAAGCCCTCACGGATCTTACGGTGCGCGGCAAACGTACTCACATTCCCAATTTGGAGGACCAGGTTTCGGTCACCAGCACTTTGTGCCCGTAACTCCAACCCCGGCGGTAAAAGCAGCGACTCACGCACACCTTGAAGCTGCCAAGGCAGCTCATGTTTACGGCGTTCACGCGGGTATTCCCGACACTCCAGCCGTTGCCGCGGCAAGGGAGGCGCATCTATACGCTTATAAGAAAATTCAGGCTGAACACGCTAAAAGATGGAAGAGGAATGCGCATCAGCCGCATGCCTATCAGCTAGGTCCTCAGCCGTACCAGGCGCAGTACGATCATTATTCCCTTCAAAAGCAGTATGCGTCTAACGCCGATAACATCCACCTTCCTGTCACTCCAACTCCTGAGGTGCAAGCAGCGACCTTCGAACATTTGAAAGCTTTAAGTGCCTCCCAAAAATACGGTGGCAATGTCCATGTAGGAATCCCTGACACTCCTGAAGTTACGGCCGCCAAACAAGCTCATCATTACGCTTATCAGAAAATTCAAGCCGACCATCTCAAAAGATGGAAACGAGAAGCGCACAGGGGATTTAACCATAACTGGCAGTCCAATGCCTATCATTCACACACCCCACAACAATATCATGACTACCAAGGTAATTCTCAATTCCAGTTCGCATCCAGTGCACACAACATTCACGTTCCCGTTACTCCGACTCCTGAGGTGCAAGCCGCAACTTACGATCATCTACAAGCTCTAGGCGCTGCCCACAAATATGGTGGTAACGTCCATGTAGGAATACCAGACACTCCTGAGGTTGCAGCGGCCAGAGACGCCCATTTATACGCATACCAGAAGATCAAAGCTGATCATGCTACGCGTTGGTAGAGAAGTGATGACATGCAGTACCAGTAGGTACAATAGCTTAGCTACAACATTTCTATTCTGTAAACCAAGGACCACAAGCTTACCTTTCTCACTCAGCATATGAACAGGCATCTGGTCCACATAACCTTATCTTACCAGTAGCACACACTCCTGTATTCCAAGCAGCAACTTTCCATCATTAATCTCTTAGAGCAGCTCATTAGTACGGCGGCGATGCATATGTGGGTATCCGTGATACACCTGAAGTTACGGCCACACGAAGTGCACTTCTGCAAACCTATTTTGTTTATAGCTCAGGACTATGCTAAACGATGGTCCTTGCTTGCCGAATATTAAAAATATTGGTCTATTAATCATGATGTTGTACGTTTCATGGCATGTCATAATTGAGCCCTAATTCAATTATAATTTAATGAAAAATATAAGTTTTTTTATAAAACTTCAAACATGCCTATTTACGATGTTTTCGAAAAGTGTTTACTCCTGCTCTAGCTATTGATAAAACGAAATGAACTTAATAAAATTTGTTAATAAAATAGCTTTTTATTGTTGTGTGAAAAATTTCCCAATTACCGGAAGAAGACTCATCAGAATCGATAATACTAATTGATAAAAAGTATTTCCGATCAAGAATGAATATAGTTGTGCATCGAGGCTAATTATAACTTCGATTCAACGGCACTTTGCGAAAATTTACGACTTGAAACAATGGAAACTCTGACGTGGTTAATTCACATTGTCAATTTTGAACCTCATGTTAATGGCCAATAACAAATTTAATATTTTGCAATTGTTACCACTTAATTAGGAATATGGCAATAAAGAAAGAAATTAGACAATTTCAAAGATTTTATTGAGAATTTTTGTAGTTAATTTGAATATGTTTAGTATGAACCTACGTTTTAATGTTTAGTATGAACCCACGTTCTATAAACAAGGAAACTCCTACCGCAGTAAATATCCGCAGGCGTCGAGCTATATTCTGAGAAAGATTTCTGAGAAAGATTCTGACACTTCAGCGAACTCGCCTGCGAGCTCGAATGCAAAACCTAACTTCATTTTCAACTCTGGCACTCATAAGGAGTTATGAGTGCCAGAGTTGAAAATGATGTTAGGTTTTGCATTTGAAGAAGGGGATGGTCAATACTGCCGAGATCACTACACATTCGAGCTCGCAGGCGAGTTCGCTGAAGTGTCGAATCGGTTGAAAAATGCGGAGACTATTGAGTATTGCTGAAATTTCTTAATTTGTTTTTATTTAGTTACAGATATCTTTTGTTCTTTTTACTTCATTGGTAGCACTGAATTTTTTTGAAAACTTAAAACTTCTTTGACATTTCTTCTTCCAACTCACCCAAATTTCTTCTTTCAAGCAGAGATAAAGAACTTAGAATGTGCCAAATGTTCCTAAATACTCAATAAATTCATTGCATACTAATGCTAATACTTCCAGTTTCACGGCGGGAAAATATATTTTATAATTATACTAAAAGATCAAGTAATAAAATTTATGCAGTAAGAAACTTTATAGTGATAAATTTATGTTTTATTACGATTTGGCACTGTGAACTTTTGTTTACACGATTCAAGTTTCAAACGACGCGCCAAGAGTATTTGTGTGGGGAATGATTAAAAACAATGCGGTTTAGAACTAAACTTATCTTACAAATGATACCATTGTATCCAAGTTAAAACTTACGAGTCATCACGCGTCAAGACTCAAGAGTATTGTGTGGGGAATGATTAAAAACAATGCGGTTTAGAACAAAGCTTGGCTAACAAATTATATCATTGTATCCATTTTAAAACTTACGAGTTTCCGGAATGCAATATTTGAGCGTTATATTCTTCATGATTGTCTCCTGTAGGCTGTAGCTGTAGAATTACGCCTATATAGCCCGATGCCACAGATTCTTGGAAGTTGAAAACCTTTGATTTGCATACTGCTTATTAATATTCTAGACTGGAGTATAATTGGTACAGATGTAAAAAGTTCGGGTCTCGCGTCTCAACACTTCCTGTCCCTGAATCCTGACTACAGTTGAGTGAGGCGGCAAGGCTGACTGTCAGTCATAGTCACAGCCTCTCACAGGTCTTCTCCATAGCCTGGGCCCTGGGCTCTGGTTAAGGCTGTATTAAAAATATAATCATAGTGACAAAGCTCAAGCGGAGAGATTTTTAGAGATTAGACTCTTCCTCAAGTCCATTTTTGAGTCCTATAAGTAGGCTAAATGCGGTAGGGTAAACGCGGTATATTCCGACATCGTAGGTAATTCCGTCACTTCTATAGTTTTTCCTTTATATTAAGCTTTGTTTTAGTTCCATGCGTTCATTGATGGTTGAAATGGTGACGTCATACATTTGCGTGTCGAAATACTGCAAAAACACTAGGTCTTGNGGAATTCCAACACAGGGCGGCGGCGCCAGAATTACAAATTAATAGAGTTTGAAGCACTGCCAGAATTAGTCTCACAATATGCCTAATTTAGTCACACACAGCTTTGGAATTCAGGGATTTTGTAGGTTTGAATTCTGAAGGCTTTCAAATACATATGGCAACAGTTTGTGATGTTTCATCATTGCTGGCAGGTAGTGTGGTGTTTTGAGAGTGATGTAAACCAATCAGAACTTGAGTTGCGCATACGGTGATATTTTTATAGCTGTTCATTTCTTGCTACGTCCTTAATGTGTCAGAATATACCACGTTTACCCTAGACCAGCAAAGTATTATGGATACCACTCATACCAGCATTATCATACATAAGAATTTGGTTTGAATCTTAAGTAAATGAAATTAAAAATGAACTGATTCAAAAAATTTTCTGGTTTGTCATTATGGTATTAGGGTAAACACACCACATTCCAACACTTTAAAGACATAGCAAGGAATGAATGGCTTTAAAAAGATCACCGTATGCGCAACTCGAGTTCTGATTGCTTTACGTCACTCTCAAAACACCACACTAGGGTAAACGCAATATATTCAGACACATTAAGGAAGTAGCAAAGAATAAATGGCTATAAAAAAATCACGGTATGCGCAACTCAAGTTCAGTTTGCTTTATGTCACTCTCAAAACACCGCACTACACGCCAGCAGCAATGAAACGTCACAAACTGTTGCCTTATTTATTTTAAAGCCTTTAGAATGCAAACCTACCAAATCCATATATTCCAACACTGTGTGACTAAATATGGCATTTTGTGAGACTAATTCCGGCTGCGCTTCAAACTCTACTAATTCGTAATTCCGACCCTCTTGTGTTCAAATTCCGAACGCTGTGTGAGCTGTATTGGAATAAAACATAGCTCGGTATTAGAACACTATTGAATATTGAACACTACTTAATAGGCTTTTAATTAAGAGCTATTAAGCTTTTAACTAAGAAAATTTTAATTTTTGCTCACAGCTCGGAACGAGCTGTGTGTGACTAATTCCAAACTGTGTCAGAATTAGCAGTGTGTGTGTCATATATTAATTTATTATATATTAATTTATTTACCACTTGAAATCAGCAAATACAAGTATACTTGAAGGATTCCCATTATATTCACAGACTTATTTAAGTCTCAAACCATAACATTCTTTCTACACAAACAGTTTATAACTATTTGGTAGAGCAAGGTCTACTATCAACTGTGACACATTTTTTGATGTTCTCACTGGGTGACTTGCACTGTCTCTCTTTGGATCTTAACATTTTCCCACCAGACAGCCCAGACCTAGTGTTTTGGCAATAGTATGACGTCACTATTTTAACCATCAACGAATGCGTGGAACTAAGACAAAGCTTGATATAAAAGAAAAAGTTGAGAAGTGTCGGAATTACCCACGATGTCGGAATATACCGTGTTTACCCTATGTGCCAGCAATGATGAAACGTCACAAACTTTTGCCATATTTATTTAAAAGCCTTTAGAAATGAAAACCTACAAAATTGCTGAATTCTGACACTGTATGTGACTAAGTTTGGCATATTGTGAGACTAATTCCGACGTCACTGAAATGCGTGATGTAATGTCTGTAGACGTGCAGACAGAGCGCTTCAAAACCATAATTCGTAGTTCCGACACCCTGTGTGATGGTGTGAGCTGTATTGGAATAGAACACAGCTCGGAACGAGCTGTGTGTGTCTAATTCCTAGCTATCTTGGAATTAAATTTTATGTGTCTAAAACCATCTCTTAACTTAATCATCTATTAATTTATTTAGCACTTAAAATCAGCAAATACAACTATACAAGTATACTTAAAAGATTCATAATATATTCACAGACTTATTTAAAAGTCTCAAACCATAATATTCTTTCTACACAAATAGTCCATCACTATTTGGTCAAGCAAGGTTTTAATTTTGACAAGTTTTTTGATGTTCTCACTGGGTGACGTGGACTTTTGCTCTGAGGATTTTAACATTTTCCCACCAAACCTAGAGTTTTGCATAAATCTGGCGTGCAATAGTATGACGTCACTATTTCAACCATCTACGCATGCGTGGAACTAAGACAAAGCTTAGTATAAAGGAAAAAGTTGGGAAATATCAGAATTACCCACAATGTCGGAATATGGTGCATTTACCCTAATGAAACAATTTTAAGGCTTAACCTAACAAGTTAGCTAGCAACCAAGCTAACATATTGATATTACAGCTTGCAATTACCATCAAAGCGTCAAACGTGGTAATAAGGGATGAGTTCTCAATGGGGCCAGGGTGCAGAAAGCGGGCAAATATCAAAAGATATTTGGCTACACATCAGTAGCAAAATTTACCCCTTGTGAAGATTTTGCCAACACATTTGGATTGAAATTATTGCATTTTAGCAATTACTTCAAAATTACTGCGAATCTGAAAGACCGCAAGCGCACACAGTAAGATTTCCGGTACGCCAGATGGATCAGGATGCAGTGAGCCAGTGAAGCTTGTCTGGAAATCAGTTGTGATGTGTGCAAGTTTTGCGGTGTGTGGAGAGTAAGGGATATACTGTCAAAGTTGCTTGCAGCATTTTCTTATTAAAAATTATCCAGCCATGGATCTTTAAAACGGCTGGTGTTGCTTTGGGCTAAAAATCTAAATTTTGTCAACACCAACGCTGCTTGCACCCTCTACACCCTGTGGCGCTAGAGTAAAGGCGACCATGGCGTAAAAATATTATAGCAGCAAAACTAATTGAAATATTGTAAAACTAAAATTAGTGGCATAAACTTCAATATTTTTCCTGTCTATGTAGCATAAAGGAAGTTAGGAAATTGTACATATACTAGCTCTAAAAAATCCCTGAATAAAATGTTGAAGTTATATTTTTGAAAAAGAACTTCTGCTAAGTTCTGAAGTAAAAAAAAAAAATTGCTGTATTAAAGAATTTTGTTTAAAAAGAATTGCAAACAGGTGTCTGCTTTAAAACTTCATTTATGGAATCTTCGTACCTCAATCCAAAACAAAATGACGGCCATTTCTGCACAATGAGTAATAAGCAACACGCCCTCCTGGACCCTGGTAATACAGGACACCCTTAAAAACGCATTTACAGTATAAACTTGGTTATTAAAGGCTCCAGAATGATCCTTGGTTATTAAAGGCTCAAAATATGATAACAGCAAAGAATTTTGAATATGTTAACCTCACTCAGCAAAAAAAAAAATTAACTCAACAAAAATTTATGAATCATTGATCATCAAAAATTGTGCATAGAATGTCATAGATAGAATAATTAGAATAGTGCACCTGGCAACATAGAATGAAAAGTAATTACCTAAATTATGATTTATATTTTCAAAAAATATGGTGGTTGACACTAAAATATTCCTTTCTGTTTCAGGTACGTTTTTACAATCTATTTCTGTTATAGTGAATTCACTTGACGGAATTAAAATGGTGTGAATTTTGGAAATTACAAGCCATCCTGTAAGCTTACAGACACAGAAAAAATGCTATATGGCTGCTGATATGAAGCTCTCAGTGGACAAGTCTACTTCTTCTTTAAGACTTCTCTTTAACTTCACTTCTTGCCTGTCTGCTACAAATCTTAGAATCAATATTCAACACACTTCTACCTGACCAATCAATCTGAAATTTTGCACACTTGAGTAAAGTTGGAGACAATGCATGATTCAATTGACACAATAAATAGTTTTGTAAATTTGCAGATTTTTTTTTGTTAAAAAAATTTAAAAATTAATTTTTTTAATATATGGAAATAACAGTATAAATTCTCTGTTGATGTGCAACATTGGAGACACCATCTTTAGAAGTGTTGTCTTTAAAAATTAATTTTTAAATGCATATATTTGGTAGCAATTTTTGCAAATCACCCATGAAATATTCAGTTTTATCTGTAATTTCAGGAAACTTCTGTCTGATATTCCAAATAAGACCTTATTTTGGCCTGGACAGGGTGAAATTCTCATAATGTATTCGATCACACATAAGGCATGATGATGATTGGAATAATTCTAATTTTTCCAAAAATATTACAGCTCCAAAGCCACACACCTTACCTATAACTTTTTTATCAAATTGGAAATCTTATGGTTCCAAAGTTATTTATTTAGGTTTTATCAAAAATTGTGCAACTCACAAACAAACCAGGAAATGATGGAATACATCTACTGTCAGGGCCACATGAGTTGCCACTCAGTGGAAACTGCAAATACTTTGCTGCTCAGTGGCCTGCTTGTCACTAAAAATTGTATAACTGCAATTTGGCACAAAGACTCTGAATGATTGCCACAAACACAAAGTAACTAAAAAAATATAACTCAGTACTCACTGCAGTGAGTGACAGAGAGCGCATTTTCTCGTAGACGAAAACTTGAGGTCATGGACAGACGGACGGACAGACAGACAGACGGACATGGCGAGCACAATAGTGCATTTTTTCCATAAATGAGAAAATGCGCTAAAAACTGTTTTGATTGTGCTAGAAAGATGTTCAGTTTTGTAAGATAGATTGTTGCTATTGAAGGCAGGTAACTTTAATGGTGCTGGCTGGCAACAGGGTTTGAATTTTCCTACTTGTTTCTGTAATCTTGCAGTTCCAATGTGACAAATAACAAAAGTGTATGTGTTATGTGAAGAATAACAAAAGAAAAGTGTATGATTAACAAAAGTGCATGATTATCTGAAATATTTTAAATGATTAATAAATTATTCACTTTCAAGCTTTAAGATTTCAGTTACAAATAGGAAAATTTCAATTTTGCTAACAAATATGTCCTTACAAGAAAAATTAATGTTCTGCATTAAGAATCACTCTCCTTCCTAAATTTTTGTGCACAAAATGTTTTAGTTATTGTCCTCATAGTTGTGGTCATGCTGTCAGCCTCCTGAAAAATTCATTCATGCACACAACACTTTTGGTTTTGTGAGACAGCTTGTGTTTGGTCTTGGGAGAGTATAGCTTTTCCACGCTTATTATTATTATTGTTATTCTACAAAGCAGTTAGCATGGCATCTGGTTCAATCAAATTTTGAGGGCACATTACACCCAAGTTTAATAGCAAACAAAAAAATAGACACAAGAAAGGATGAGAATGGATAAAAATGACTAGGCACCTGATTCATAGGCTCTATGAAATAGTTCTGTCTTTAGGCATCAACTGAACACCTGCAACAAAGGAGCTAATATTAGGGTACGCACACAGTGAAAGCAGGTTGCCAGCGTGCTGGTTACCTGCTCAGGCTGGCGCCTGAAACCATAGAATACAGAAGCCTGTTCGTACAGGTTTTCACTGTGAACACTTACATTATTATCCTATGTTCATTCTTGTGGCATGTTGGAGAAGGTTGCCCGCGCGGGCAAACCTGCTTCCACTGTGTGCGTACCCTTACACTAGACAGATGTAAGTCACCACTCAGTAGCTACTACTGCACTTGACTCACTGCTCATCAATAAAAATCCTATAATACTGGTCAGAATTATGATTTGTAGGGGTTATTGACAAATAAACTGAAAATCATTTTTGATCATGCAAGAAAGTTATGGCTTAGTTTTATTAACAAAATTGATTTTTTATTTTGAAGCCTGATCACACAAGTGCTGTGACATGGCTAGTGGCATTGATGGTAGGTCAGGCATAGAAAATATTATGTATTGAAGCTACAACCAAGCAGGATAAAATTCTTTAGTAGTAATTTGTGAACAAGTGCATACATTTTGGATCTGAAACTAATTTTCTTTTTTATTAGTATGTTTTGTTGGTTGTAAGGCAGCCAGTAAAATGTTCTGATTGTTGGTGCATTACGTTACTAGTAGTGCTGAGGCTACAAACCATTCTTTTTTATTAAAATTTCTTAAATGTGTTGAAGAATAATAATATTTTCTTTGCAATAGAATGTAACTGATAATTGATTTTTTATTTTATCAACTCTTGTTTGTTTTTAACGTAAAATATGTCTATATACTAGGTATCTATCCACTTGAGAAATTTGAGAGAGAAGCTATGAAATTATAATTTGTTCTCAAAATAATAGATAAAGATTGAGGAACTAGCTAGTCAGTAACGGTTTCTGGATCTCTTGGCTTGAATTGAATTTCCCTTGTTATTATTGAATTACCTCATGATCTGATAATAAACTTATGTTTGGAGTTTTCAACTTGCTTCGGCCTCTTCAACCAATCAGCCCTTGTAAGGTCAATATCAGACCAGGAAGACCGATACCGGTACTAAAATCTTTGATCATTTTTTCACCCTCCAGCATAAGTTTCAACCAAATTATATTTGAGAAAGTTGCTTTACTTTGTTTGGGAGTTTAAATCACGAGGATGGATCCTCCTAAGAGAGCCACTAGGAAGAGGGGGAGTCGAGCCACGACAGTTGCATCAGACGATACTGAAGAAATGTCAACATCAGAGGCTAGCGTTGCGGGAGACTCCGATTCCGATGCCAGTGTCGGAACCCCCAAGAAAGACAATAAAAGATTATCATCCCAGGCTACAAAGAAGCCTCCGCTCAAGAAAAAAGCCCCTGAAGTGAAGCCTGGCCCCAAAAATCCCGCAGAAGCGAGAGACTCGCCCAGCCCTAGCAGGCCCAGTATTGAGGCACCGACTAGAAATAATCAAGAGAAAGATGGTGCGACTGATGATGTCGAAATGGAGGACGAGGAGGAAGAAGGAGGCATCAGGATTGGGGACATTTACTTGCCACCTCCTCCTCCCCCGGCCTGCACTTTCGATAGCAACGGCCCTAGGCTCGTCATCACGCATATCGAGAATGACTTCTTCAAGAGCTATGCCGGCAAACAGGTGAGCTTGTTTTATCTGTTGTCTATTGCAGGAAGAAATATTTTCTAAAAATATAACTAAAACTATGACTTAAATATGAAGCATTATACATTTTTGTAGGTAGTGAGTAAAATCCTGTGTTTATCGATGTTCGCTCTGGTTGCCAGATCTTTAGATATGAATAGTCGCAACGAAGGTGGTTGCAACCACGAAAAAAGGTCCCTAAGCCAGCTGTGAATATTCGTCAGCGTCTAAAACTTAGATTAATTTTGCGTTGGTGATGGCACTGTTATGGAAATGACGAATTTGACTGGATAAAAAATATGCGCAGGTGTGACCATTAGTTTATTGTTTATTAGTGTATTGTTTATTTATTTATTCTTCAACCATTAGTTTTATTTGAAACCATTTTCTGCATTAATACTATAAGATTGTTCTTAATTTTTGTGACTCTCTTCGCGCACATGATATTTTTTAATTTTGTTAATTTTTGGCTAGTATTTGAACTAGGTATGTTCTCACATTTTCATACATACTGTATTTTTCGTTAACGCTTTCTCGAAGTAGCAGATATTTTTGAAAATCATCATCTATGTCTGGAATAGCCTTTATTATCCCCGTTGGCTGACACTTCCTAATTACTGATGCTTGCTTCAATTTCTTGCTCAGGTTCTTGGACCGTTTCATAAAAGCTTCTCGTCCGTCGTGGGACCCAACGGCAGCGGGAAAAGTAATGTCATCGATGGAATGCTCTTTGTTTTCGGATACCGAGCCCAAAAAACGCGTTCGAAAAAAATTTCGAATTTAATCCACAACTCAGAAGCTCATCCGAATGTTGAAAGCTGCTCGGTGGCGGTTCATTTTGAGAAGATCATTGATATCTCCGACGATGAGTTTGAAGTGGTGCCTGATACGAAATTCGTCGTTTCACGAACCGTCTTTAAAGACAATTCATCTTTTTATCAAATCAACGGGAAAAGATGCCAATTCAAAGTTGTTGCTAAACTTCTTCGGAAAGAAGGAATTGACTTGGACCACAACCGTTTTTTGATTTTACAAGGTGAAGTTGAGCAAATCGCCATGATGAAACCTAAGGCAGCAACGGAGCACGACTGTGGCATGCTGGAATACCTCGAGGACATCGTTGGGTCCACTCGCTTCAAAGAGCCGATTGAGCTACTATCAAAACGAGTTGATGATCTCAATGAACAAAGAGAAGAGAAACTTAACAGGTTAAAGTTGGTAGAAAAAGAGAAAGATGAATTGGAAGGCCCGAAAGACATCGCTGTGACTTTCATCAAAAAAGAAAATGAGATCACGCGCACGAAGAACAAGCTGTATCAAGCTTACATTAACAGTTCCAATGCTGCTATCGCCGACGCTCAGGAAAAGAAACAGCAGATAGACGACGGGTTGAGTGACGTCAAGAAGAAACTGGAAAAGCTAAACAATTTCAAAGTCGAGAAAGAGACTGGTATGAAAACGCTCCAGGTGCAATTAGAGGAGGTTATAAAAGTGCGAGAAGCCAATGACGCCAAGTTCAAATTATTAGATACAGAAGACAGTAAACTTCAAGAAGAGCTGAAGCACAAGAATTCAAAGCGCAAAAAGATAATAGCTCAGCTCAAAGTAGAGCGGGAGAAACTCGAGGAGCTGAAAGCACTTCCAGAAAAGAACGAAGCTAGCATACAAGAGTGCCAGAAGCTCAAAAGTACGCTTGAAGCGAGCCGCACGAAAGAGGAAGCTGCTTATGCCAAGGCTATGGAGTCGCTGAACTCGGAGACTCAACAACTACAAGACGAAAAAAATAAGCTCGAAACTACGCTTATTGACTTGCGTAAGGTCGTTGATGAAACAAAGAGCGTCGTTGATATTGCTCAGTCTGAACTCGACATTTATCTTAGCACGGAGCGTAATGAAAAGAAAAAGTTGGATCAAATTACATCATCTATCGAAAAGGCTAAAGAAACTGTCCAGACGCGCAAAGAAGAAGTTGCTAGGCTGACGAAGTCTATTCCTGAAGACGAACATAAAGTAACGAAGCTTCAGAGAGATCTTCAGCGAATGGTAGGAGAACTCAAAGATGTCGAAGAACGACTTAACTCTGAAAGAATAAAGCTAGAAGAAACCCGCAGCGCCATGCAGTCTTCTCGATCGCGAGGTCGTGTTCTCGATGCAATCATGGAGCAGAAACAAAACGGCAACATTCCTGGTATTTTTGGCCGTCTCGGCGACCTCGGGGGTATCGATGCCAAGTACGATGTTGCGGTGAGTACCGCGTGTGGCCCCTTGGACAACGTTGTTGTGGACACTGTCGAGACCGCACAAGCTTGCATTAACTATCTGAAGCGAAGCAATACCGGAATTGCAACTTTCATTGCTCTCGATAAGATGGAAAAATGGCGTGAATACACTAGAAGGACCATTCAAACTCCGGAAAACGTTCCACGTCTTTTCGATCTAATTCGTGTGAATGATGAGCGCGTAAAAACTGCATTCTATTTTGCGATTCGTGACACTCTAGTGGCCAACGATTTGGATCAAGCTTCACGAATTGCTTATGGTCGTGAACGTCACAGAGTTGTAACTCTCATGGGAGATCTCATTGAACCTACAGGTACAATGTCCGGCGGAGGGAGGTCAGTGCTCAAGGGCCGAATGGGGAAGGACGCTCAAGCTGTGGTTACTGTTGACCCCGCCGAGGTCGCCAGAACAGAATCGCGCGTTGAAGAATTGCGGCAAAGATTAACAGAACTGCGCCAACAACGGACGGAGTCTGAAAACGCGCTTCAGAAGCTCACTAGAGATTTATCCTCGATGAAAGTAAATCTTGATAAGTACAAGATGGAGATCGAGGGCAGCAAGCAACAGCTGGCCTCTCTCGAAAAGCAGCGGCAAGAGCAAGAGAAGAAAGTTGCAGCGGTCAAATCCGATCCCGCGAAAGTAAAGAAAATGGAGGCTGATATTGAGAAGAAAGTCGAGGCTTATACTGAAGCTGCTGGCAAGGCCGAGGGTGTGGAAGCCGAGGTCTCGAGAGTAACCAAACAGATCTTGGCCATCACGGGGGGCAAGATGAAGACCCTCAAAAAAAATCTCGATGAAATAAACAAGAAACTCGAAAAGCTCAATGCCGAAGTTTCAAAATTGACTGTGAGTAATGACCATAGGGCTAATTTTGTCTTCTTTGAACAAATCGTTAATTTTGACACAAGGTTGATTTGCACTACCGCATAATGTATTCGTTCATTTCTTTCTTTTCATCCCAAATTAAGCTAACCGTACTGAAAAATGAGTAATGCATAATTATAATTATCAAATTACAGTTTGTTAGCAGGTATCGATTGAATAAGAAATAATTTTAGTTTATTTTCTGTAGCACGTAATAATAAAGACAGCCCGTAATTCTTTCGTTGATTTCAGGTCGCGATTAAGACAGCTGACCGCAACACAAAGAAGACGGAGGATAAGATCAAGACGATGGAGACAGAACAGGAGGAAGCTATGGCAGAACTACTCAGCATGACCAAAAAGCGCGAAGAGATTGAGAAGGAGGCTGGTGAAGTCATGGAGAAATTTCAACAGAAAATGGTAAATATTTTCTACGTCCACACGGTTGTAGCCGAAGATTTATCTCATAAATAGAATTTTTAATACTATTCCCAAATTTCAACTCTACAATGCCAGTCTCAATTTTTTATTCCTGGAATCAGGAGATAATATTTTAATTTTTATTCTTGTAGATATCGGATAAGTTGTGCTACGAATTGCTTAGAGTATGAAGCGAAGTTTTTTTAGAAATTCATAAAGAAAAGGCACAAATTTTTGGGCCCTTCAAACTTGTTTTAGAATGTTTACAGCACCGCAAATTTTTTGTCCTAACTTTCGATACTGTTGTAAGAGTTGACAAAAAGTATTAGTAAGATAGCTGGCTCAATTTATGACTGGAAGGTAGTTGGTTCGGTTAACAAGTGCGTATATATGTAAACACATGTACTCATTTAAGCATTTGGGCATGAAGTTAGCTCAATGCTGTTCCATTCTCTGGACAAGGAGTTAGTCATTGACGTTTTGAATATGGTGAAACATTGGAGTATTTTCGATATGTTATGCAGTTGATGCGAATAATCTGTTATTTAAGCGTTGATGATGATGACGTCTTTCTCTCATGGGTCTCTTAGGTCTCACCCCTGTTGTAATTTTTAATTTCTTATTAATTCCATCAGCAAGAAGAAGAACAACTTGTCGATGAAATTTCTGCCCTCAAATCCGATTACGACGAGATCGTCAAGAAGGAGAACAAGATCAAGGCGAGCAAAATTGAAATCGATCAAGAGATTGAGAAGTGCGACAGCATCATTAAGGAGGGAAAGTCCAGGATTGCGCACTGGAAGAAAAAGGTAATTGGTAAAGTTGATTTGAGATCAGGAAATTTTCGTGCCAGTTACTGTAAGCGTTTAATTTTGTTTGAAAAATAGGCCATATGCTCATTTTATGTTTCAGTTATGCGTCTTTTGAGAATTTAAGGAGGTCCATGAATTGTTAAAGGGATTAGGGTTTAAAAACATCTTAAATGCTTCATACAAATTATATTCTTCTTTGTACCTAAATTACGTAATACATTTAAAAAGAAAATTTTGATCGGAGTTTCTTTATCTGAACTGTCCACTGCAAGATTTCACAAAGAAAATAATTATCTGTACCTGGGTTTCCTGTGGTATCGCCATAGTTTAGATGACTTGTTAATTTCATTCTAGGTTCGCTCATATTATAGTTAGGTTTTTAAAAAATATCTTTTTGCAAATTCTAAAAAAATGACTTTTTTCAGCACTCACGCTTGGAATTACAAGAAGTTCCTCTTGCAAAAGAGGGTGAAGAATCTCTTACTTTAGAAGAGCTCACCCCAGAGCAGCTGCTGGAGCTTGACATCAAGAAACTGGAGTATGACCTGGAGTATCTGGAAGAGAATATCGCTCAGTCCAGACCGAATCTCGCTGTTATTCAAGAATACAGGAAAAAGGTCAGTGATTCCGTACCTAGTCTAATTTCTTTATCGAATATTTATTTTTATATATTGGTATTGATAGCTCTTTCTTTATTTAAAATTTGAATGAATTGAACCTAGATAACCTAATAATAGTTTTCTATTTAACTGTGCAACAATGACATGTTTATCGTAGCACAGGTCTGCCCTCAACGTCTAATCTGACGAGCCTATTTTTAAGTTGCATATATAGCATATGCTATATTGTAGGATTGCTTATAACTTATAATATATTTCGAATATAGTTAAATTTGCAACACACAGTTGCAGTTGCCCGCCCATGTCGCACAAGGAATATATTGAAATCATATTTTTATTACAGGAGGAGATTTACTTGCAACGCGTGACGGAGTTAGATGAGATCACGGCTAGCAGGGACGACCAGCGCCGCCATCACGACAATCTGCGCAAGCAGCGCCTGAATGAGTTCATGGCTGGCTTCAGTATCATCTCTAATAAGCTTAAGGAAATGTACCAGATGATAACTCTCGGCGGGGACGCTGAACTTGAGCTCTTAGACTCGCTAGACCCCTTTAGTGAAGGAATCGTTTTCAGGTGAGCGAAAAAAAAAACAGGAATAGCCTCTACCTATTCAGTATTAAATAATACCATGAGGTGAGCGAAAAAAAGTTTTTTTTTAATTTATTGTTAAACTTGGGTCCTTCGGTAAAATGTTACAATGCATTTATTTCTCCATCTTACCGCATTTTTCTTTTTCGAATAGTTTTTCTTTTGAACCAGATATCGTTAATGATTCACTGAAAAATAGATAATATTTTCTTTGGTAGTGAGAATAACACTGCTCTGTGCTCATAGGATTACGGTATGCTTCACATATAATTACTTCGTACACTTCACTTGCAATTCGCATTTTTCAGTGTGCGGCCTCCCAAGAAGTCCTGGAAGAACATTACCAACTTGTCTGGAGGAGAGAAGACGCTGTCGTCACTTGCTCTTGTCTTTGCCCTGCATTACTACAAGCCTACGCCCCTCTACGTGATGGATGAAATCGATGCTGCTCTCGATTTCAAGAATGTTTCTATCGTTGCCAACTACATCAAGGTTTTTGAACATTGCTTCTACAGTTTGGAATTCGGTTTTATTTTTACTCTCCGTTTCGTAGTTGGTCGCAGAGTTCGGGGCTTTGAATCTGTTACTTATGGTGGCTTATTTTAGTGGCTCATGGTGGCATATTTAAGTCGCACATGCTCAATCTAATGCAGATAATTTGAGTTTTCGTTATATTACTCTAAATGTTAAGAAGAAAGAATTATCTTTTAAGAAATTATTTTATTCATCTATTCTCTACCGTGGAAGTGTTTATTCACTTCTCTTAAGCGATATACCTATTGAATAGTTTAGCAGTTAGAATACGGGGATACAGATAGAATTAAAATTGAGAGCTAGAACAGTAATTTATTCATATTCTGATTGTAAGTTGAGAAAAGCCTAATTTACAGTTCCTACACAGAGCATCAAACTTAAGTGTTTCGTTGCAGGAACGCACAAAGAACGCGCAATTTATCATCATTTCTCTGCGGTCGCAAATGTTCGAGCTCGCGGATCGCCTGGTTGGCATCTACAAGACCTACAACTGCACCAAGACTGTTACCATCAATCCTGGTCTCTACGAGAACCCTGCGCCGCCATCGTCTAAGAGCACTAGTGGTGCTGTGATGATCGAATCCCTGAAACCCGTTAATCCCATTGCATCTTAATTGGGAGAACACTTGGGAAAATCTAAAACATTTCTGATTTGTGAAATAAATAACCTAATTATCCGATAGTACATACTAGTTTTTGATTGATTCCATATTCCAGAATACCCGGTTAATCCCATGGCATCTCAATTGGTAGAACGCTTATGAAAATCCAAAATATTTCTAGTTTGCGAAAAAATAACCTAAATATCTGATTGTTCGTACGAGTTTTTGATTGATTTCAGGATTCCCGGTTAATCAAATGGCATCTTGATTGGAAGAATACATGTGAAAATCCTAAACATTTCTGGTTTGTGAGAAAATAACTAGTGGTACTACTGATAGTTCGCGCATTTTTTTTTCTTGTAGATTGCCTGTTAACCGTTAAATCCTATTGCATGACGATTAGAAGAATGAGAAATCGGAATCTGGCGGGTTCAATTTACGATATTTTGAATAGTTTTGTTCATCTTTATTTTTTAGATTAACATAAGGAATGCATGGAAAATTAATAGGAATGCTTGCAATTGAATGGAGATTTGAATAAACTTTTCCACCGATTCATCTTCGCCTAGCAACCTAAAGTGAATCCTTTGTCAAGTTCATAGAGGCTGGCCAATCATGCGATTGAATTTTATAGATTGCTACGTCTCTAGAATAATTCAGTCTATTCAAATTCATCGAAGAGGTTACCTCACTATTTCTATTGCCGATTTACCCGAAATATTGTTGCGTAATTTCTGAATTTAGCGTAATATGGGCATTGAACAATTTGCACAAGGTCCAAGTTCCGGAACAACATCCAAACGTTAGTTACTGTGCAATTTTGAACATCGTTCCACTAGTTGTGGTGCTAGGGGGAAACATGCACTTCGGTCAGGCTCCATACGCGTAACAACTTGTCACGTTCGCCAGCATGTAAGCAGACTAATCAAGCTTCCCATTGCTCTGTACAGCCCAGGTTTTGCTCGAACAAGTTCATTTCATATGGGAGAATGTTAACAGTTCAACTAACAAGCCTCAATTTTAGTTTTCGAACAAATAGCCGGTAGTGAGGAATCGGTTCAACTCGACGCCGTTTTTTATGCAACAGTGCCTTCTAGTTACCCTTATCCAATTTGCTATTTCAACATCTCTATTGCTTTCCAGTGCTGTTTAAAATGGTCCCGATTTTATTACGCTCAACTATTTCTCTAGTATAATTCAGCATCATGATTTTGTCCACATATTCTTCGGTTCCTCTCCGCTCTCAATAGCACGGTTCGATTTTTGATCCAAATTACCTTTTCCCGTAAGCACAATCTGCACGAATACGTGCGTCTGTCTCCTGGATAAGTCTGTCCTAGCTAAATTAGGTCAGTAAAATTTTTGGAGCAACGAGTCAAACGTATTTATCACATTTATTCAAAGTAAACAAAACATAAACAACTTGGATATTGCCCAACCAATTCAGAGATTATAGTTTCTTTCATCGTAGACTCGCTCCGATACGATGGCCGGTGGGAGAACGTGTCGGCCCCACCACTCTTGTTTAATTTTTATGTAGCCAAAGACCTTACGGTACTCGATGCAAATGACTGCCACGTAATCAATGTCGTAAAATGTAAGCGCATGCGGCAACTTCAAGGTTATGTCTTTGTTGATGTAGTTCGAAATCGGATCCAAGCTGTTGAAAGATTCAATTCAAGATGAGAAATTTGCGAACTCAATGTAAGAGGTAGCTAGCAATTTCAAAGCAAAAATTCAGCTCGAAAGTTTTGGTCAGAGTTGTTACTGTACTATCAGCATTCAGGTGACTAAGTAGTAATTATGGAACCAAGGTATCCAGTATGAAGACTCCCTTGGCAAGAGGTACTGACTTGCCGGTCTCAGACGGTATCCTCACACCGTCTTCGATATCTCTACCAACGCCGGCCCAGAAGTAGACAGAGGATGCGGTGCCAGTGTACGTGAACCCCTCTATAGTCATCACGTTCGAAGTGCGAAGCAGGACGTTTCCTGCGAAATGAAAAATCAGGATACAGATATCTAATGCGAGTAGAGAGACGGATTATCTTTTAAAATTACCGACTGTTGAGGCGATTAGAAAATCTAGAGAAAAAGGTGGCCAAAAAACTCCAAATCTAAGTTACAGTAATTAATTGAAGGCTTACTTTGGACGCAGAATTGTCATGTTATTGCAAGACACTTTCCGAAAGTTAAAGAATAGAGATGCAAAACTTACTGGATTGAATGAGGTTCTGATTACTAATGAAGGGGCCAAGTGTCAGGGCTCGAGGAACGACGCACTGTGATACATCTATTTCGGTGTTGAAATACTGCAAAGACACGGGAGATTGAGTAAGGTAGCTCAACACGGTAATTAAGATCGGGCATTTGCGTAATGTATCTGATTAAATAAAGAGATAACTATTTTATTAGGTCGTTTTGCTGGGTCATTTATTATTCAACTTTTAGGATAGGAACGACCAATGATTGTCAGAGGAAATTGGCAGAAATTCGAAGATGATAAAGGAGATTTAAGAAAAAACTTGGGTCCCTCAAACGAGTCGAGATGTCCAGGATTAAGGTCACAGAATGAGGTTAGAAAAAACTTACGCCAAGGTTATCAGCGACGGAAATCTTTCTTGTTCGTGACAGATGACCCGGCATGTCTACGAAGAAACGATGATCATGAAGTTCCCTGTTGAAAGTTCCGTTCGTAGCAATGACGATTTGACAATTAACCCAGAATATTTCAAAGTAAATAGAAACGCAAGCCCCCCCCCACAAAAAAAACTGCATCAACGTCAATACGTTTAAAATCTAGCACGATTCCTTTAAATCTTATTGTAGCCAGAAATTGCTCCAGGACTGGAAGCTCTGAGTAAGGAATCTTCATACCAACGCGTTAAGTCATTGCCTGACCAGCCTTCACTTACAAGCGGTCGGAGGGGTCCAGGGTGAAGTTGTAGATTCCGACTCCGTCGAGGGAATGAAACGTGAACCTGAGGTCTGGATGTAGAAAAAAACTTTCATCACTTCATATCATAAACGCCCTATGAAATAGGTCTTGTAAATTTACGAACGAAGCTGGACAATAAAATTTAACAACTGCAGCATTACAGCCCTACGTTATGCCCAAACGTGCACTGCGTCTCCCGAAGGACCTTAGGTCTAGAAATTTCTAACGACCTGAGCTCCAGAAGACAAGAGCTGCCGAAGTAGCACGGATGATACGAGACAAGAAAGGCAAACCAGATATTCCATAATCTACCAATGATCTAAGACGTGTACTCACGAGTAGAACGGATCCGTGAGTTCATGTACATATTTCTTATCAAGTATGTAGAGACATTGACGGCCCTAACTTCAGCATTGAAGAGAGGCGTTAGGAAAACTCCACACAGAGGTCCTGCCTGTCGCATGTGCAGCGAATCGCTAGGGCTCGTCAGGTCAGCACTAACCAAGTCTGAAAACCAGAAAACCAGGTTCAGGTCAACAAGTTAGCGTTTGTGTAAATGCTAACTATTTCAACAGTAAGATGTGAATACAAGTTGCTATGCGATAGTATCTGAATTTAGAGGTCAACAGGATAAAACTGTTTTGAATAATAGTCGCTTAAAAAGTTCGCTCACGTTGTCTGTGCATCGGAGGAAGCTCCACGTTTTGTGCTGGAAAAGACAGAACTAGCGTCAACGTTCATTGCATCAACTACAGGAAGTACGCTCTTAGAGGAGGCAAGGTATTTATTGGTACAGATCAAGAATGACCGACAGTAACCGTTTTGGAAGGGGGAAGTTCATCAATGAAAGGTGATTTATACTCGAAAACGCGAGCATATACCCAATGACCATAAAGGGGTCGGCTACGAAAAGTACTCACCTGCTAGTTCTTTCTGGTAGTCTTCGATGGAGAGCACTGGAATCGAGAGAAGAGAAAGTTCAGAGAATTACATTAATCCTTGTGGAGCTAGGCGCATTATATTCGTGCAGAAATTGGGCTATGAAATGGTTAGGCTTCGTTGTGGTTTATTCAAAGCAAGTAATGGTGAAGGCTAGCATTTATGGAGAAAGTTTAGGAATGTGCGATTACTGAACAATTTATTTGGACCCATTTTAATCAAACTTTACTATAGCTCGACTGTATTACCCAGTGGTGGCAATGAACTTGAAGTCTTGCACTCCCGTTACTTCAAAACCTTTTCTAAGGTAAACTCACGTGCATAATCGACGAAGTTTATCAGTGGCTTATTAAAATAATTAGGATCGATATGTTCGCGCTCCTTATTGCGCTGGGTCTCTACCACCAGCTGCTGATTTTGAACAGATATATTCTCAGGAACAGGCTCCTCTTTGGACGCAGATGACTCGGTAGTGGCTTCGGCCAAGGTAGTTAAGAGTTTGGAAACTAATTCAGAGTCTGAATCTGTCATAGAAATTTTCCTTCCTGGCATCTCCAGGTGGACCGCCACCTTCGCGCCAGTATCTGAAAAAAATTGCGATAAAGTTATTGAAACGAAAACTTTTCAATTCATGTAGAGAATGTTGTCAACTTTTGGAGAGCCTTGTTGACCTAAACAACTGTCCATTTCAGTAACAGTCTCCGAGTCAAATAAATTTGTGATAAAGGTTTGCGAGGCTCGCCCTTTTTCAAGTGAAATGCTACCTCTCGACGCACTGGAAGACCTTGCGTCTGTATGCTCCACTGCATGAGGTGGCAGCGGAGTGGCACCATACAATCCAGCTGACCCTGGACGAGAGGGCGAGAACCTGCCGCCCTCTGATGTGGACGTGGCTTTCGAAGCACCTTGTCCAGCATTTGTAGGAACGGGTCGAGGGGTAGTTGATAGAGATAACGTGTAATTCACCCATTGCTCTATCTCCCTCTGTCTAAGTTGCTCCCGGTTCAATAATAGGTTATTTCTCTGGAAGTTTTCAAGCTGTATGCGCCGATCTTCGGTTAGTGGAAGCAAATTACTGCTTGGAGATTTGACTCCCAGCCTAGAAGTGATGTCAGGATACTGGTCATCCACGCGGGGCTGCCTGAGCTGGGGAAATTCTGCCAGAGTTGGAGCAGAACTTGTTAAAATTTCGAAGGTACAGGCATGGCTATCTACTTAGTTCTGACACCCTTTCTCCACTAAATTAAATTGGTAATCGCCACAACATTAGGAATGTATTAACGTACAATAGATGATCATTCGAGAACGGCTGGAAATCAAGAAAATTTTAATCATTAAAGTTAAAGTTAAAGGTCGGGTTTAATTAGAACTATAAGACTGGTCCTGTCGTCTAAATTTTTACCTCTAGCATTGGTTTGCTTACGACGGCCTTTCTCGGTAGGAACCGCAGGAGTGGTCCCTAATCTGTTCTTTTCAAAGGCATACTCTGAGATGGGTACGCGTTCCGAAGCTGGTCTTGGTTGATCGCCAAGAATTTCCTGAAACGGGCAGAGAAAAATGGACTGAGGTACTAGGGGAAGAACTGCTAGCTGAACTGCGGGGGACGACTTTGAGCGAAAACGTTGGCATTGCACGAAGCTAGAGTAGAATCAATGCTGGTGTGCCAGATTCAGCAATAAACTAGAAGTAAGAACGTTCATATCTCGAATGCCGCCTCTGTCTCTGATACTTCAAGTTGATTGGAGTGCATAGTAGTTCCACTACAATTATCCAGAAGAGGCTTTTATAAGGAGATATTCAACCTGAACTATATACAAGATAGTTGTACTTACCGTGTTTTCGGGTGAGTAGCGGTAATGAACGTCACCTCTGAAAGCCAGAAAAACGCGTATTTCTATTAAGTCATATTAGGGAATCTAATGTACCAGTTGCACCTTTGAACTTAATCTAACGAAGGTAACCTACTATTGTACAGGTAAAGTTTGAAGATATCGACAAATGTGGAAATCATCGTTTCAAGCAGCATCTAGCCCATAACCACAATATCCTAGTAGAGTTTTTAAAAAGTTCCTAAGCCATGATATTGTGCCTTAGGTCTCACGTGTAAACGTCCACATTATCCACAGCGGCTCGCCGGGCTCGCGACGATTCAGGCCCACGAGATGCAGCAGACGCCGCAACTGCTCGCATAGATAGATATATGATCTTAGAATTCTCGCTACATCTAGTTCAACTGATCTAGATGATCTTGTGGATCGGTTGTCTCCACATAATAAACTACAAATTTGATCAAATTTCACCACCACGCTTCTAGCAATAGACATTTGTACAATGTACATTACTTTAATACCCACACCTAGGAAGATGAAACAAATATTGACAGCAATGCCAAGCCGACGCTTCGGGAAACTTCATGACGCACAAGTGAACAGTGAAACCTATTTAAACATGCCTCGCATCACAACCGGCTAACACAGTTGATCTTCGACCAGTTAATGGTTGACATGAATGCTTCGTACAATCGTACCTTACATCCCTTACCTTTAATCTCGTATACATAGCCACATCAAGGAATTTACGCCTTAAAAGTCCTTACCTATGACCGCAAGAACAACTACGTAACACCCAACCATTCTTGACCGCCGACCCATGTTCACGTTACAGTTGCTCATTCAGTACTAAGTTCCTGAGCAACTGCGTTCACAGACATTGGATTCGATTTTTTCTTAAACTGATTTTCATCTAATTATATTTTATAGAACACAAATATTTTATAAACGAAATGAATGCCGATTCTGGAAAATTGCCTAAAATAATCAAACCAAATGATACATTTTCTTTCTGTTTTTTTAATAGTTAAATAAAATACGAATTATATATGGACATCTTTATTTTTGTGCTATAAAAATAAAAAATATAGAAATACAAAAATCTGATCCAAATGAAACTGAATTTTCCAGTTTTATACAGCTGCACGCATGTTATTCGTATCAACCATCATGTGTTCAATCAATGCATATAACCTATTATCAGGTGACTTCGTGTCCTTTTCGAAGCCGTTGATGTTTCTATAACCTCTCAGATTTTAAATTATGCTAACATTACCTTAAATAGTGTAGGAAATTCTGTATTTTACCTTCATTTTGGGATGCGAACACAGGAATCTTATGTAATTTGTGTCAAGCGCGAGCTCACATGACGTCAGTTTGGACCCTTTTATTAATTAACTCGGAAACTCGCTACTCAATTTGCGGGCATTTGTCAGTCGATGCAGTAAATAGATTGTGGCTTTTCAGCGCATTGGACAGGCTAATCAGCGCAGAAGACTAGCTTTTCAGCGAGGTAGACTGCGTCTTATCAGCGCAGAAGACTGTAGCTTTTCAGCGAGGTAGACTGCGTCTTATCAGCGCAGAAGACTGTAGCTTTTCAGCGAGGTAGACTGCGTCTTGTCAGCGCAGAAGACTGTAGCTTTTCAGCGAGGTAGACTGCGTCTTATCAGCGCAGTAGACTTTGGCTTCCAGCGCAGTTTAATGCGACTTTTTGCGAGCGTAAAATTGCTCTTTTGAACGTTAATTCGCGCTTGTAGTTGTGTCGTTTCTGGTAGAAATTTTGTCCTGTTAAAGTGGGTGGAAAAAAAGCTGACATCGAATTATTGTTGGGATTACACAATTTGATGGAGAATGTATTTTTTTAGCTTCATTATTTGATTACTTTAGTTTAGTTGATGATTTTTCGACACTTATTTCCTATTCATTCTTCACAACTTTTAAATATAAATTGCGCAAGTGATGAACTATTTTACTCGACAGTTTCAATTCATTTATACCTGAAATCTAATTAAACGATTTATCTTACTTTATCTTACTCTTTAGACCAATGCTACAATCAAATATTCCATGAATGTTTTTTCCTTCGCAAAATTAATATTAAGAGCGTAATTTTGGATTTCACTCATCTCTTCTATTTTGGTCATTTTGTGTACGTAGTTGGATGATGGCAGACGATAAAACAGTTGTTGTATATTATTCGAAAAGCATCGCACGAAGCGGAATGGCGTACTTTAGTACGTGCATACGAAGCTTCAAAATCATGTCTCTGTGAATAAATATCAACCATGGCGTGTCCATTTTATTTACATGGTTTCTGGGAAATCAATAAGCGGTATTGAAAATTCAATCCACGAGCAGCCACCCGGACGTAAATACATACCTATATATGTATAAATAATTACGTATAGAGCATACGCATCCATTGCCAACTTATTAGGCATCGTTCTTTGGCTAGAACGAAACTGTTTTTTCCGTGATTGTCTAGCGTCATTTTACTTCATTCACTAGCATTCGGTGAATGCCCATAAGAGATTATTAAGTTAGTTAGTAGTTAGATTATTAAAGTAGTTAGTTAACGGTTTATTAGCGCTACATATCTCTATATCCATACGATGATTACAAAAAGCAAACCGGAGGAGGAAAATCTATTTTCAAATCCGGTAAAGTTCGGTCGAATATTTTTGCATCATGTAGTTGAACGTGCCTGCGGGCTCCGGCTTTACCTGCTGCTCTTACCTGTCAGGGGTTACTCGGAAGACCTGTGACGTCAAAGCTCGAGCCCGCAGGTATTTGAAGTAAACCCACAGGAAGTTCACCTTAGTGTCGATGCAGCTGGAGTCGTGTGAGGTGTTGTGCTAAATTTCTCCATTGTCTGTGTGACCCATGCCATTACCGATTCAAGACGCTACTGATTCATTGAAAAGAGTTGTTTGAAATAGTTCCTTAAATTGTCAGTTTGTCAGTGGTATTTTATAAGTTAAATTTCAGATGGAAACTATTGGAATAGATTGTGAATGAGCCACGAATTTATGTATAAATCGATGTCCAGCCTGGCTAAGCAGTGAGCTTCTATAACTGGATGTTTGGAATGCAAAAAATTGATTAGTACATGCATTTAGGGTCAAAACATCCCGACATCATTATTTTATTCTAGTGAAAAGTGAAAAAGTGTTCATATTTCTAACTTATTTGAAAGTATCTGGTAATTTTATTATCTAAAGAGGATTGTTATCCCACATATTTATTTCAGTTCATGATCGTCATGTGCTGGCTCATGTCTTGCACGTTGTACCCATTGCTATGTGTACAAAAAAAGGTAAAAAATTTGTTAATGAAACGGTACACATGTATTTTTCCTAATTGAACATTGCAAATCAATGAAACAACGATTATTTGCGTGACATGTTTCATTGTGAAACATTCATTTAGCATCTTTTTTCCAGATTTTTTTTTGCAAGTTGTAGGGCTCTTTTAACACTCACTGCAAGATGATAACTTGATAACTTAAATTTGGTGAAGTTATAGTTTGATCAAGCGTTGCTCCATAAAAAATTGCAAAAAGTGAAATTATGAAATTTTTATTCGGAAATTTCAACTGCTAACTGTGAGAAATTTCAGTAAACGGACATTCAGATTGCCTCTAACTGTGATCAAAATCTAGTCGCATTTACAGCGTGAAAATTCTAATTTGAAAATTACTTTGAATAAAATATTATTCGAATCGTTGAGCAAAGATGGATCTCCTTACGGTCAAGTTATTATCCATGCTTCTATTGGGTTTGTTATCGCTGTTTTTCGGTCTCATTCCTTTGAAAATCCAGAAGAAGTTGATGAAAACTAACGATGCAAAGTCTGCCGAGACTCAACAGAAGCAGAGGCGGAGACGGGACCTGGCTGTCAGTTGTCTCTTGTGCTTCGGCGCTGGGGTTTTGCTGGCCACGGTTTTCCTCCACATGCTGCCAGAGACTCGGGAAAATATTGAGGCAATAAACGCCAAGATCGCAAAGAGCAAACATAGCCATGAGGCTCTACATGATCACGGAGACCACAATCATGAGGCCTTACATGGAGATCATAATCATGATCACGAACTTTCGCATGCGCATAACGACCACGCGCATGAAGACCATGCGCATAAAGACCATGTGCATGAAGACCATGCGCATGAAAACATCACCATGAATCACGGTTATGCGAATAATTCTGAGGTACATCACGCACATGCGGATCACGACCACGGAGATCATGGACATGAGGAAGGCAAGCATGCAACCGAAGGACCGTCGAGGATAAAAAATATGAAAGCCAATCTAGAGAGTGAGAAGAAAAACATTCATGTTCATAAACGATCTGTGGATGCCGCTGGCATTACACACGATAAAAGCAATCCAATAACCACGGTAGGAATTGCCGCCACAACAGAAAATGTTCATCTTCATCATACAGACCACGATCATATCGGTAATGTCCATGGTTCTCTTCACGATTCGCATGATCATGGAGCGCATCATCATGAACATGAAGACAATGAATCGATCTCAGTGGTTTTTCCTCCAGTAGTTCCATCTCAAGAACGAGAAGGTTTAATAGAATCTGTTACTGAAAACGCCGCCGAAGGTTCTGGTGGAACCGATCCAATCCTAATCAAAAACTTGTTGGAGGTTCATAAAGATAATAATCGTAGTTTTGCAACAGGCGAAGCGAATAAAGTTCTACATGATGCCCATGATCATGCAGGTCATCTGCATCATGACAACGATGACACACATGCTCATGGCGAAGTAAATTCGGTTGATAAACACGGTCACGGTAATGCCTCACATGAACTCGATAATTCTACGCATGATCACAACCACCATCATGACATTAATTATGACAATCATAGCACTCATAATCATGACCACGACCATGCGGATAGCGAAACGCAGTCCAATCCGGTTTTAAACCAAACCGATACTTCAATGAAGACAAAGGCTTCAAGAAATGAATTGAATGACAGGAATGCTCAAGTTCATGACCACGCTGGTCACATTCACGACCACACTGGTCACATTCACGACCACACTGGTCACATTCACGACCACGCTGGTCACATTCACGACCACACTGGTCACAGTCACGATCACGCTGGTCACACAGTTACTCATGGTCCCTACGACCGAACTCACACCAATCTGGAACATGATCAAAATTCTCCCCTCACAAATGACTCCCCTCACTCTACTGAGGGTGACCATAAACATGACATCGTGCTTAACCTCAACCAGCAAAACTCAAATGCCGCAATTCAAAAATTAATGGAACCAATGCCTGCAAATAATAGTGATAATACGAGCAGCAATGTTCCAGACAAAGCTCATGTTCACGAAGAACATGACCATGCAGATGATGGGCATTCTTACCCTCTGGCGGAGCTGTTCATTTGTATCGGCTTTTTCTTTGTATACATCATCGAGGAAATTATTCATAAGGTAAGTTTTAGATCTTATTTCTCGCTATACTCATTTGTCTCTACTCAGTATTTGTCTCTTCTGTGAGTCGCTTGGAAGTTTTTAGGTACATGACAATGCGTTTATTAGTCTCTATTAAATTAATTTCGCTTTTCATTTGAACGGGTATTTACATTTGTTAATAAGCTGAAAAAACGTATTCTTAAATACACTGTTAATTTTTTTCCATAAATCATCAGTGAGACATATTGCGGGATAGAAATATGCCTATTCGTGGAGCTTTTGATACATTTTTAGACAATATTTTCTGATAATATCGGCAATTTTATTCTGATTTGAATTTAATTATCTATTTTTTAGAATAGCCTTTAATACTACAGACTGTTTAAACTTGTTTTGATTTAACTACGGGGAAATTTCCCGGACGGGGAGCAGGCTCCTAACACTTGCCAAGGTTGCGTGGGTAATATAAAATGCTGTCGTCTCCAAGACCAGTTTTTATATTTATTCTCACCATTAGCATCAGCGTATCAGCGAAAGATGTTGTACAATAACCAAAATATGTACTAAAAAGATAAATGCGGCTTTATGATTACTTAACTTCGAAAATTTACTTAAATTTAAAGCTTTAAGTTTATGTAATGCCGTGTGTTGAATATCTGCCTGCATCATCTTAATAATTAAGTTCGTTGAACCCTGATTTGCGGATGCGCTGTGACCTGCGGACGTCAAGTGCAGCTGTTGGCTTGCAGGAGCGGATGGACTCGATTGTGTTCTCCGGCAGGTCAACTTTTGCACCTGTTCATTAATTTCCTATGATCTTGACATAAATTTCTTGAATTAATTATAATAAAATATTGTTTCGTAATATATTAGCTACCACTAAATTTGTAGAATTTTGATGCCTCTGAGCTGTGATGAGTTTTTCTTCACTGATATTTCTGTGTTTCTAAATGTTGCTTAGCTGTGTATAGTCCAAATTATTTCTGGTGAACTACATAAGTGATGTTTTTTTTTATCGGTATGCCTTCCTTCTGTGGTTGACAGCCTTATATTCATAGATTAAACACTACCACTTTTTTTATTCAGAATAAATGTAGCGAGTTGTTGAAGGAGAGCGAGCGGAGTTCCGCTTCCGCTTGCTTCGAATTTAAAGCACACTATAATTTTTCATGGCAAAGGAAGCAATGCGTCCGTTGCTATGACTTTTCATAGTGAACTAAATTTGGAAAGATTATTATTGATATGTTTTACGGAAATATAATTTTTTGCTTTCATGAGAATTATTCAGAATTTGACAGTGAGTCTTTACGTTTGAAAGTTTTCTGTCGAAAACGTTTATTAATCCTACTTTATATCATTCATCTAAAACTGCTTAAACTCATCTTAGTCTCTCTCTCAACTATACTTCAAAATTATTTTGATTCATGAAAGTTTAAATATTATGTATGTAACTCACTCCCACCAACAATTATATCAATTTCCTTTAATTATGGAAGTGCAATATTATAGTCGCTCTTAAATAATTACTTAATTAAATATTTTAAATCTCATTACCAAGTCAATTTCTTCGCATAAGGCTCGAGCTTCACTCTTATGCTAACGTACTTCACTTGCTGCGATCGCGTGAATTTAGTGTGAAAGTTCGCTACGTAATTAATTAGCCCAGTGAGTGCGCGCGCGTGGGATGATGACGGTTGCATGACAATCAGAGAAACTCAGCATATCAAATAAAATGTCATTTTTTTATTTAATCAGACGCAAGGGCTTATTAATGATAATTATTATTGAAAAATGCTCATGCAAAAGTTATAGTTTTGCATCTACAAAATTGTTAAAATAGGCTTCAATAATACATATATCACAGTAGATTTAAATAAATTTAGGGGGTACATTAGATTATTAGGAATTTTATCACTTTTGGCGCCTTCGGTAAACATATTCTAAGTTTTTAACAATGAGGAATACCTATGGAAAATAGTGAATACCAATAAAAAAAAGCTCTATAGTGCAGTTGAAGATTGCATAGAAATTAACCCTATAACGATAGGTTTTTAAACAACAAGGATAATTCCGGGATTAAAAGGCGAGCCTTATGAAGAAAAGTTAAAGATTATGAAGCTTCCAAGCCTCCGTTATCGACGTGTGCGTGGTGATCTCATTGAAGCATACAAGTATACCCACGGTTTATACAAGGTCCCAGAAGGATTATTGGAATTTGAAACAAAAACCAACACCAGCTAGGGGCCACGGTTATAAACTAAAAAAACTGCGTTGTAACACATCCAAGTAACAATTCCGAGTGTGCTTGACTTCAAGAACAGACTAGACCAAGAAGTTTGACCAGCATACACTATAGCAATTATGTATAAATAAATAATCGATCAGACTAACTAATTGTATCAGTGTATTGGCACGCAAAGCGAAATTTACTTTATTCTTACTCAAATACCAACTTATTTATCCTTAATTGCTTCTCAGCTATTTTTTTAGGCGTTTACTTTCGTTCAAGAGAGACCCCAAACATTTAATAACATTATTTCAACACAACATCAGCAGAGGCTGGACGTCAGCCATATTGCCTAACGCGGAGTGCAGCGGCTGTTAAAACCAGGGCCTAGCACATCCGTTCTTAAATGATCGTAATCTCGCCACAACGATGACGCTTTCCCTCACAAGTAACGTCATCATTCTACACGCACGTTATGCGGATACGCCCTCAATTATATGAAGAAATAGCGGCGGCCAACCAAGCATGCATCGGGCAATCATCGGTGGCCAACTATGGAAAGGCCTCCGGTAACACGCGACCAATAATTTCCTAGGGTTTTTGCCATGAGTGAGTGTAAATCATTTGGTGTATTTGTAGTCAATCGCTGTGTATTTGTAGTCAATCGCTGTGTATTTGTAGTCAATCGCTGTGTATTTGGAGTCAATCGCAGTGTATTTGGAGTCAATCGCAGTGTATTTGGAGTCAATCGCTGTGTATTTGTAATCAGCCGCTGTGTATTTGTAGTCAATCGCTGTGTATTTGTAGTCAATCGCAGTGTTTTTGGTAAATCGCTTTGTATATGTAGTCAATAGCAGTGTATTTGTAGTTAATCGCTGTGGATTTGTAGTAATGCTTGCTTATTTGTTTGAACTGTTTACCAATAATCCGAATAAAAATGAGGGATTAAATATTGATTTATAATTACTTAATTGTATCTTAATTTTCCGATTTACTAGATAACTTTTGTTTTAATGCAAAATATAACTGTGGTACGAAACGAGGTCCATCGTCGTTATGCAGGAATGCATCAATTGACTTATAAAAACAATTATTTTCCGTTTCTCCTCCGCCTGAACAATGAAACGCTTACCATTGTTCCTGCATGGCACTGAACTGTTCTTGAAGATCCTCAGTCGACAGTTCAGCCATCCTGCCATTAGTCGCTCGTGAGTCACGTTCTAGCCTTGAAAACGAAGCCTCGGATTCATGGTCGGTTTAGATTGCGATTTGTTCCGTCAGCTTTGATAAAGTCCTATGCACTTGAATTTAAGAATGATAAAATGTCGTTGATACAACGTGCTAAATTTTTTACACCTTCATTCATATTCATCTGCCAGTGTGGATTTTCCCGTATTTTATGGACGAAATTTATAAATTTTGTTATACCTGAGTTTCGATAGAGAGTCAGAACTACTGAGAATAACATCACATTTATTCTGATCGATATAAAGGGGTACAAAAGGTTCGAAATAACTGTTACTTTAGTTTAATTTATTTACTGAGTCTTCCCAGTAGGATATTTTGACCTGTATTCGATGAGTATCAGTATAGAGCTGCGTAGCTGCTGCAATTCATGGAAGCTGAGCCCACACAGCCAGCGGGTCGAGCTTCATCCCCCTGCATGTCAGTTCATGGCTATTACATAGGACTCAGTTTGACGATCTCTAGTCTGCGTTGCTCGGTTATTATACGAATTATATTATATTTATTATACGAAGTCTAATATATTATACGAAGTCTAATATAATATATGAAATATAATATGTTTGCGACGAGTTCTGATCTCGATCGTAGCCAGTGTAACTTAGCTCATTCTCGTCCGTTGGTTAAAGTTGATGCGCCATCCAATCTCGTGAGCGAGATGGCATAATGGACAGATATAAAGTCCCTAGACAAGTTGTGCGTTTTAAAAGTCATGAAAGAAGTTAGCATCCCCGTAACATCGGTTGGGTAACATTACTCTTTGTTCGATAGAATGAGCAGGCCGTGATGAGTACCTCACGCGGCCGGAGAGGTGCAATGACACGGTCGCTTTAATCTGAAGCAAGACGCACACGAAATTTCTCTGTTGACGCAATATGTTCAAAATTTATAGTAGATTTGCATTTTAACAAAGGAACTTTCTCAGTTAGCGTTGGCAATAATTACTTTAATCATATGCGGAATCAGGTAGTTAATTAACATGATAAAGTAGTTCACGGAATTACTTAAAGTGACTATCTAGGTTGATTACCATACAATGCCTAGGTTGATTTCACCCGCCACCGCTAATATGTTTACGCCAAGCAAAATAAACGGATGATGGGCTCTAATGCAATATTACCTATATTATAAATTAAAACGGCAACAAATAATAAGACAACTATATTAGAAATCAATACGGCAATTAATAATAATCAATATGGCAGCAAATAATTCAGTGCACGTCCACTTTATGAACAGTATTGCAAATGCGAGCTGTTGCTGGGCTCTATTATATAGCAAAGTAATTCTGCACGCCGAGCGTCAACTGTATAATAATTAATAATTGCAGGAGAGATATCACTTGGGACAATCATCACAATGTGTGATTACTAAATCGGCATCGCTGATTCATGTATTGTTTTTTTTTTCATTGTATAATTTTATATAGGAAGATAAACGGAATGTTTTTGTATGTGAAGCTAATACATCTATTTTTACATTTATCAGTTTATGCTCATATATTCACATGAATAGGTATATTTTGGAATAAGTTGTTCCTATGAAC